CTTGTTGTTTAAGAGAGAGAAAGATGGAGGTAGATAGAGGGAGAATGAGAGCTATAAAGCTTGAGATCCGCACGTCCGGCTGCAGCACAGGCCCGTTCGGCACGGCTGCAGTGGTGTTTCTGTCACTTGATCACATAAAAACCATCACTCTGTACTGGGGGAAGCTGCTAACACCCAAGATAAGATTGACGTTCGCTGAGGTTTAAGTTTTTGTTCATTTACTGTATGAAAAACACAACCCAGTTATGGGCTTTTTCTCTATTGTGACAGATATAACATGGGGGGATCTTATTATTGCTGAAGTCTATTTTTGGGATTACAGACTGCTTCTGACAGACAGAAAAAATGGAGGGTCAGACGCGATGTTAGAGACACAGTCGGGGAGAGAGGGCCACTCATCTTGGGGGCTTTAGTTAATGTCAAACAAATTAAAGACCGTGCAAAACTGCCGAGAGCAATCACCACTGTGGTCCTCCTGCATCTGTCATTTCTGACAATATAACAGCCAGATGAATGAGTTTGGCACTTAAAATAAGACAAAGGTATGGTAAAAAGAGCAAGACAAAGGAGCTGTCAGATCACAAAACAGTGTGCATTCGTCACTGCCGTCATCAGCCTTTCCTGTAATAAAACACTGTACAGGTCATTATTCCTTTGGGTGTGCTCAATATAGCACACAAAGCAAGACAAGTCCGAGAAAAAAAAACACTCACACAAAACTGAACTCATCTTTGCATGACTGAATGATGTACAATGATACAATGAACAGATGGACTCGGTGAGTACATTAATGACTCAGACTGGCCCAGCCCTTCGGAAGTGGGAAAAAAATATTACAAGTTCATAATGTACTATAAGCAACCTGCGAAAGGAACAAATAAAGGTTCCAAGGTTGTAATGAGCTGAACCACATCCATTTACCAGACTCCACCTTCAAGAAACACCTCAAGACCCAGCAGTTCCATGAATTCCTCTACTAGCCCGATGCCTCTTCATGTTCCTCGAATGTTCATATGTTTCACTTCTGGTCCTTGAATTAGGTTCTTGCTGTAGAAGCTGTTGAGTAGCTCCTGCTCCTATCCTGCTTGCACTTGTACCTGGGCATTCACTGGAAGCTCAATCTAGCTGTACCAATACTACCAGTTTTTGCATACACTGAGATTTTCTACGTTTGCATGTTACTCACTTAACATTTACTAAAAATACACTCAATATTCTTTGCTAACAAATACATTTACAGTATGTTCACCATCTGAGTGCCTTTATTAGCAAGAAAATGTCATATCTTTGATTCCTCTAGCAGTTAGAAGAGAAACTTCAAGGCATTCTTTCAGCAAGGGACATTAAATATTGCTGTTTCATAGGATGAATCAGATAACCAGTGCATTCAAAGCTAAAGGACAGCCTAGATTTCACTATGCCATCACCACACAACTAGTTAATAGGATGTCAGACACACCCTGTTACATACTCTTTCCATATTATAAAGGAAACTTGTTTTATTTGACATATTTTCATTTATAGTTGTTCACTCAACTTTCCAATGCTTAACAAGGAAAAAAAAAAGTACAGTTTATAAAATAAATGGAAAAGATGCAAGAACCTGTGATGTGCATTAAGCTTTTGACTGGTAGCGCAGGCCTGGTCCATTCCTTGATAGCACGTATGTTTTTAGCGTATTATTTGCCTCACATGTACGTCACTTTGGACAAAAGTATCTGTTAAATATATAAATGCAATGTAATGTGATGGAAGATGTTGGTGAAACAATGTCCCTATTCTGGCACCTTGATGTGTGTCTTTCGTTATTGATTGTAAAGCCCAGTGCAGATCAGACAGGTGCCAAAACCAAGTTATCCAACCACAGGCCTAGACTCGCCCCCATGAAACCAGATGTCGATGAAATCAGTATCGGCAGTATCACGTTTAAACCTCTGTCTTGAAAACGTCTTGAAAACGTTGGGAGGCTCAGGTAACATTTCCTATGAAACTGAAACCCCTGCTGGCACCTCCGTCTGCCATTGTCTTCCGATCCCTTAAACATTCCCCACAGGCACAGTGCTGGTGTTGTAACATCTGTGTACACTAATGGGCAGAAAGGGGCAAACCTGAATAGCACTACATTGAGATTTGGGCCATTTTTAGATAGTGTAAGGTGTAGAGAGTGTAAGGAAAGAGTACATGAATTAGTCACACTTTACATTAAACCTACTATATTGTGTATATACTACTTGACACTGAGCTAAAATCATTTACTGCCATCTGTAAGTATAACTCTGCTTCTGCTTATTATAATCCTGTACATTTTCCTCAGTTCCATTGTCTCCTTTTGCTAGACCTTAAATTCCCAGGGAATTCATTCAAAATGTATTTACTGGTGAAGAGCCCACAGCCTGATACACTGGGGCTTAGGTGTGCTGGTGACTGGAGGTCACGTTCATGCTCTGCCATTCTCCTCTGCGTCTCCCTCTGCCCCCATCTGACAAGGTGCCATTAAGGTGGTACAAAGCTGGCAAGAAGAAAGTGGTTCATCTCTTCCCTTCCTCCTCATCCCCACTTTCTATTGCCACTTGTCGGCATGGCGATCCATTCTAAAGGTGGCCAGGTCCCTCTCCACCCTACTGCTGCTGAAGGGTTACCAAACCCTGAGGTACCTGAGGAGCAGAGCAAATGTGACAGGAATTACAATAGCAAGGTCTCATGTGACCAAAGAGAAGAAAAAAGGCATGAACTTAATCTTACATAAACCAAATTTAGACTGGATATGATGACAAGGTTCACTAACAGGAACCAGTCCCAGAAGAAAACCAGTAATATTAAAACCGAAAGAAACCGACAACTTCTCCCATTTCAGAAATGAAAAAGGAAGCAGAGACAAGGCTGGCTATTAAATTTAGTCACTAGGAACAAAACAAAAGTAGCCAAATTAATTACAAGTAGTTCTATACTGCAAGTCATAATTACTATATGAACACAAAAGATATATTGTTGAAGAAATTGTTATTTTATAAACTGTGTGTGCTGATTGCAGCCCTTTTCATCAATACAGTGATTTAGGACAAAGGTACATTTATACACATATTAGGAGAATGGTAGAAACGAATGCCAGTACACATATAGTTTGAGACCTCATGAAATTAACACAAAGGGTTTAATGAAGAAAGGAATGGTTCCCACTACACCCACAGATAATATGTTCAGAACACTTAATTCATTAACAATTCATTTCTATTGGAAAAATAAAAATCCTAGAATTTCACTTACAACATTACAAAATAAAAAATCACTTGGTCGACTCGAGGCACCAAATTTTCTCCACTACTTCCTCACAAATCAGTTACAGTACTTAGTTAAGTGGATTCACAAACAGAACTAAAGTTACTCTTGGCTTGAATTGGAACAATATCAGTGTAAAGATATCCTAGCTGCAGAACTCCCCTTCCTCACACAGTCAATCACTAAACCAAACATCGGTAAGATCAACACCATCTCTACAACTCTGACAGCCTGGTGGAAAACAAACCGAATCACTAAGTCATCACTAGCTTTGAATAAATTCACCCCATTGTGGCACAACTCAACATTTACTTTACAAAACAAATCAGTTCATTTTCCCACAAGGGAAAAAAAGGGAATCACACACCTCCACCACATATTCCATAATAATCTATTTATGTCATTCGATGCTCTTATGCAGACATATGGGGTGGAGAGAGATCAATTTCTTCAATATCAACAGCTCAAATTAAGAATTAAAGGAAAAGTCAATATAACTAATAACACACTACAACCATCTCAACTAACTGAAGAACTCACTCCAATCAACAGCCCAAAAAAATAGTATCTAAACTGTATTCACTTATTTCCACCTTAAATAGTGCAATAACACTCCCAACAGCTAAATGGGAAAAAGATTTGGGCTGTTCTCCCAACCCCGATTACTGGAAGCAGATCTGTAAAAACAACTTTTCCATGACTACTAATTCCAACTTGCAGCTTATACAATATAAAGTCATGCACAGAACTCATATTACACAAAATAAAATGTTTAAAATGGGATTGGCCAACACAGATATCTGCTCACAGTGCACTTTGGGGAGCACAGATAATTACTTTCACACCATCTGGCTTTGTCAACCAGTTCACTCCCTGTGGTTAAGGGTTACTGAAACACTCTCCATCATCCCGAGTCGCAGAATCCCAGCATCATCGTCACTCTGTCTTCTTGGCGATACATCTACTATACGCCTTCCATCCAAATACAAAAACCCTTTGCTCATTTCTCTTGCTGTCGCCAAGAAAGTTGTCCTCCGAAACTGGAAATCTAAGAGCTCGTGTCATATTACTCACTGGAGCAACTTGATTGCAGAATACATCTCAATGGGGAAAAATACTGCTGTCCAGTGGAAGCATGTCAGCCTTTGAGGACACCTGGAACCCATTTATAACTTTTCTTAAAATTCCATCAGAATAAACTTAACTAAAATATAGCCTCAGAGAAAGAGAGAAAAAAAACCCATGTATTTCCCCAGAATGAACCGCCCCCCCCATACACATACACACTTTTACTAACCTTCAGTATAAACCCCACACATACATTACATTTGACCAACTTCAGCATCCCCAACAGTAACTACCTATCTGCCTCGCCCCAGTAATCTCTCTTGTAAGTCACTTCGTATTGTCTCTTGTCTGTCTGTCTGTCTTTTTGCTCTGCCCTCACTGTCGGATCTTGTCCCACTATCTTGCCTCGTATATGCTTGTTATTTGTTTTATGTTGTATTTTAGTTTCTGTATGTTATATATGAGCCCCCCCTATCTACATCTGATATAAATGTGAATGTAAATACTTTTGAGAATATGTATATAGTTGTAATTAAATATAAAGTTGTCCTCCGAAGAGGGGGGGTGGTGATGGGAAGGAAAAATAAAATAAAATAATGAAGGAAAAAATTCAAACATGCTCTTTTTGTTTAAAAATGCACAGAACACCAGTGGGATATAAAAAACAGTGGTTTATTTCAAAGACACATAGAAGTTTAAAATGCATCAATTTGCTGCATTTACATTGAGATACTTACGGACCCCTTGTGCAGAGACTCACCTTATACCAAATCGGTACAATGCTGAAAACGCTCAAAGCATGCCTGCCCAAAGGCAGCTAAGGCCTTGCCAGTGAAAGCAGAAGACCCAAGTGTGCTTCCCATGTCGCATCTACTGCACCAGAGGTTCGCACGCTGCTCACCTAAAGTCTGAATCTCTATTTCCTACGTGAAACACCTAAAATAACACCTAAGTACTAAGGAAAAAAACTCCTTACAGAATACGCAAGTTCACGTTGGATGGTGAGGTCTGGGACAGCGCATGCATCATCGAAGCAGACAGTCACCGATGTGTCGCATAAAACACACATGCTCTGCTGTTTCCATGGTAATACATAGGTCACAGTACAAGAGACTCAAGTTTCCCAGGACCGGGTCGCAACTCCTCACAGGTCATTGAAACAGTAATATAACAGCAATCAATATCAAATAGCGATTAAATTACGATCACTCTGTCGACTTACTCAACAGATATACCGAAACGTACACGATACCAAGTGCTGCAAACTAAAAAAATATCTTGTATTATTTCACTGCATAAAGGAATGAGAATGTATTTTATAACAGATACTTCACTGGGATTTGTTTAAAGCAGCAGGACCGGTCTCGAATGTCACAATGTTCATCGTATTCCCAACCTTCACTCAGTAGAGTCTAACATACACTAATATCTGCGCAAATAAGGATGCTCAAATTGCGCTTCAGACCACCTTATAGGACGTAGATTTGGTTTCAACATTGATAGGGACCAAATCAGCCCTGAACCCCCAAAATACACACTGTGCATCTAAAATACGTCACTACCATCCACACCCAAATCTACGCTCCTGCTTTTAAAAGCTCTTATAAGTCAACTAACCCAAGGATGCATAAGCAGATTGCAGACTGACTGCCTCTTCTTTACATTAATGTTAATCTATGAACAAAACAGCAGCATGGCAGCACTTTTCCACTGAGGTTCCCATGTACTGGTGAAATTTCCCATCCGGGCACCCTGACGTACATGCAGGAGGTCGCGTTTCGTGTAAACAAGGACCTGCATCTTAGTTTTTTGTCGTCCATGCGAAGGTCTGCGTTACTTATTTATAAGTGGCCCCAAACAGAAACCCGCAACCTGGCACAGATAGGTTAATTAACATGGTTGCTCCTGCACGACTTAGGTGAGAAAAAAAGTGAACTGTTCACTCAAAACAATGGTTAGCCACAAAGTGCTGCTGTTCCAAAATGTTCCCTAAGTCCTTCAGGGGTATATCCATTTCTAAATAGACATTTACACCAGTGCCAATATTACGCTTATTGTGTACAAGCTATGAAGTTGGTCAAACTCCAGCACTGAGCTTCCGTTTTTGGTGTCTTAGTGGTTCCACGCACTGTGGTAGTAACTTGTGTATTGAGTCAAACTAACAAACTAATCCTGAATTTTCATTAGGAATAAAAAAGACCTAATGGGCAATTATCAATCCTTTTGGCTCATGTGAAACCCTTACAACAATGACTAATCGAACTTTTATTTTCAGTTCATCTAAATGCAAGAATCGCTTTAAAATTTACATATATACGCACTCACAGACATACGTTAACTGCTCCTTTTGCTTTATAGACATGTTTTAAGGGACCAGCCCCTGGGCCTTAACAATAAAAAAACACCAATGCTTCGCTATCGTTTAAGAAAAAAAAAAATCCTGATGCCTAGAGGCATCAGCGTAATGTTAAATACAGTGCATATTACGCATCGTTTAACGCATCGAAATTCAAACAACCAGCAGCTTCAAGTGAACAGCTACTATCTGACTGCCCTGAATAGTAGGATGATCAGTGGAAATCCACACACTTTCCGCCAGTACAAATCCTTTAAAGACACAAACCGTCTGCTTGCTGGGTGCCAGGCGATTTTAGATCGTTTATAATAAAGTCCACAGGCAAAAGCACTAATTAGAGCTACATATTATTATACAGACAAGTGAGAGCTAGCATTGTGCTATATCTATCCCGATCGTCTACTGTTAAAGAGGACCACACAACTAGTGAGGACGACAAAAAAAAAAAAACAAAAAAACACTTTATGCTTTGAGTGAAAATGAAATGGATCTCTGAACAAACCTTCACTTTAACTGATACCAGTGCTCATCTGCACCAACGGATCTCTAAGATCACATGCAAAGGTCACCAGTCATATAACGCAACCAGCCCCTCTCGACTCCCCTTATCTGATCATAGGGTCATCCCCAGCTGGGGAACTGAGGACTGGGACATCCACAAACGGCTCGGTCTTGTCGTCCTTGAGTGGGTTGCCGTGCTCAGCCACCGAGGTGAAAGATAGGTGATCGTGATCGATGATGTTCAGCCGGTCTTGTGGTTTCTCCTTCTTCAGGTAGAACATCTTCCTGAGCTGTTTCAGCTGCTGGAGCTCACAGAAGGTCTCCAGGACAACCAACATAGCGATGAGGCCCAAGATTAGGTAAACTGAGAGAGAGAACGAGAGAGTGTTTCATTCCAGAAGCCAGAGAAGAAAATTTGAGTTTCCCACAAGATGCAGAATGAACTGAAATTTACAGAGAAGCACATCATGATGCTACTTACAGATAATGAAGTGCAAAGACACTTATGCTATCTTTATAAAACCACAACTCTGCTTGGTGCTTAATTATGAATTACTACTGTGATCACATGTGATCACTGATAGGTGTCTGTTGTCATCTGAGGGTCCCTGGTTTAAGAAAGGGTTAAAAACTACTGCTTTAAAACCTTAATTAACAACAAGTACAATCAAGATTGATCAACAGCTCAACTGGATGGGAAAAACATTCAGAGGAATGACAGCAGAAAGCCAGAGGAGTTATATGACATGTCACAATAATCATAATGGGGTACAGTCTTTCATATTTTTAGCACTAACATCAACCACTAACATTCTGTGAGAATATGAGAATATTACGAAGATCTCAAAAAACCAGCTTGGCATGAAGAAACACATTTATGTGAGCGTTGCTGCATATGAAGTGCATTTATAATCAATAAATAAATTGAAAATCATGCTATCTGTGGCCGCTGCGGGAATGAACATTCATCACAGGAACTAGGAGCAAAAGTGACGCGCGACAGAAGATATCTGCTTGGAATGAGCAGCCACCTTGAAAACAACAAGGTTCCATTTGACACACAATTACACAGATGGGTTCTTGGAAGAGCAGTGAGAATAACTTGGGTGACCAGCTGCTGTCCTGGGTGGACAGATTCAAAGGAAAAGGTCAACTGAGAAATTATACTGCCCCATTTGGGGACTGTTCAAACTGGCTGGCAAGACAAAGAACAAGCGTCACTGCCTTCTGCTAGCACTGACTTTATGGCCACAGAGAGCAGGTGGTATCTAGAAGGACACAGTGTACTTACTGGCTACATGACCAGCTCACTGTACACATCTTCTACCATGTACACATACTCTTACTATTTGATTTGGCTTTGCTTTTTATTCATTCAGATAAGTTAATTTTTATAGAGATATAGCATAAATAAATACAGGGGGAAAAAAACACACTCGTTGAAGAGATGGATGAAGGGGTATACAGAACCCAGAAGACAGAAAGCAAAAAAGTGCTGTCCTAGTTTTCACTGGAAAATCGGTTGTGATGCATATAGCTGTGGAGTACCACCTGGTTCTGTGGTTTACTTTATTATTATCATCATCATTATTGAAATTTGTTTTACGCCTCCCCAACTGCAAGCTGGCCGTGAAGGGCAGCCACCTATAGCAGTACCCAGGGGGCTGGGGGTTAAGGGCCTTGCTGAAGGACCCACAGATGTGCAGAGGCCAGACTGGAACCTTCCAATCACAGGAACAGAGGCTAAAACCCACTGAGCCACACACTGTTAATAAAAGCTGACAAATTTCTACAGAAGGCAAGCCAGGAAACGCCCTTTCATTTGCTATATTAAAAATGTAACCTGAAAATTCTTTAATCTGCTTTGGATAAATTTCTCCTTCAGCATGGAACAAGGCGGCCAAATCCATTAACCCTTTCGGGCTCAAATTAAGTTTTAGTAACGACAGGACAACCAAGTCCTGCAGTGGTACTTCTGAGTAAAAAAAACTCATAAAATATGTATGTGGGGTAATAAGGTAGTTAGTTTTTAACTGTTGCAAATCAGCAACGCCTGCCTTGAGAGGGTCAATTATAATAAAATTAATTATTTGTAAGGCTCTTTTCAATCAACGCTTGCAATAAATAAGGGAAAGACAGAACACGGAACTCGCAAGATTGTTGATTTAAAACATTTCATTTCCTGTATGGAAACTAAACTGTGAATGTGTTAAATATACCAGGGGCAGCTCCATAAATTATCAAAGCACCCATCTGATATAAAAATGTGCCTCTTCAGTTCTTCAGAGAGGACAGGTAAATCCTACATTATTTCTGAAGACTGTAAAAATGTAACTAAGTTTGAAAGTATTGTTTGATTGAATAGACTTAATATAAAATATATATAAAAATAAAAATATATAATATAAACCTTAGACCGTTGAATCAACCTAACAGCTTAATATATGTGAAACATACAGGTAGCACAAAAACTACTTACCAGTGATGCCCACTTTGTAGAGTTCACGGAATTTCTGATTGTACCCTTCCCCCGGCACGTAGTCGCCCAGGCCTATGGTGCTCAGGGAGATGAAGCAGAAGTAGAACGACTCCAGGAAGTTCCAGTCTCCCTCCAGGGCAGAGAAGATGGCAGCGGGGATGAGGAAGAAGCAGGAAGTGATGATGACGGCCAGTAGGGCGGCGTGGACGGCAGCAACCAGCGGCTTTGACAGGCCCCAGCGTGTGTGCACGTACATAACGGGGCGCCTCGTACTGAAGACCATGATCCTCTGCACCACGGCCGTGAGGAAGAGGAGGGTGAAGGGGATCCCGATGACAGAGTAGACGATGCAGAAGGCCTTGCCCCCATCTGACAGCGGTGCCGTGTGGCCATATCCTGCAGGGATATGCAACATCAGCACATTAGTCACATGTTCTCACACCTTTGCTCAGAGATCCATCCGAACTCCGGAAAACTTGGATGTCACCGACCCACAAGCTGCACCAATCTACACCTCAATGTTAACTACTCCTCTGTCCCAACCCCACAGAAGGCTGCCTTGCAGAATTGGGGTGCATTTAGTTGTGATGTGTAGAGAAAATAAAATGATAATCTTAATGAAAAGTACTTAACGAAAAGGTGCTATTCGCTATAATGGTTGGTTTTAATGCATAATTACATAAAAATATTTTTTGTAAAAAAACAAAAACAAAGAGACAGTGCAGAGATTACTATTGTTCAATAGAACAAAAAATCTATTAGAAATCCCTCTGTATAACATTCTGATTTGAAATACTTTTCTGGGATACACACAATTTAAAAAAACCTGATAAGCACATTATCTTATAATAATCTTAGCTTATCTGGGGAAAAAAAGACTTCCAGTTTTATCCATTCCTTATTCATGTGCACTGGACCGCAATATAACCACAGCGGACAAGTGTGGCCAGTTTATTTATGAAAGACTGGGCCGATCATTGATGATGCCCAATTACGTGTCCCTGTAGTGATGAAGTTCAGTCTGGAGAAACGTGACCCTCAGACATCAAGCACCAGAAGGCCATGAATTTCTAACAGGCTCCTGCTAATGAAAATATATGTTAAGACAAGCCCCCGAGACTCGCCAGCGCATGGCAGAAGGGCAATTCCAGCATTATGGATGTGACATTTAGCCTCATACAGGTAAACAAAATGCCTCAGACAAGCATGGTATCAATGACTCAATTTGCATATCGTTTAATGTAACCTCTGGGGTTTAACACAGACAAATCCTCAAAATTTATATTTTATGTTACATATTGGAAATACTGTAGCTGGCATTTAATCAGTGTTATGGATGTGGAAAACAGACAGGTGTTTATGGGAGACTACAGGTTTTCTAAAATTGCTGTTTTTGAAAAAATATATATTAAGGAATAACTGGTGTTATAGATGTGACCAGTCCTCCACAAAGTAGAAACCACATGCTTGCATGGGTAATTTTAAATGGACCAATTTAAATAAATGTAAAAACTGAACAATGAAATGAGAATACTGTTACATGAACACAGTTGCCCTTTGTCCAACGATGTTCCATTACATACTCACGATATTAAACTTACCACTCCTGTTCCTCTGATGCGGCATACTTATTGGTTAACCGCATAGAGAAACATTATTAAAAAGGAAGTTTCCTATTTGTTAAACATGGTTTGGCAGTTCCTACCCTCATCCCATGGAGTTCACCCTGTATTATTGCTCCAAAACCCGATGGGTCACATCGGTTTTGTTCAGATTACTAGCGACTAAATGCTGTCGCTGTCCCTGACTCTTTTCCGATGCCTTGTATGGAGGATTGCATTGACAGTGTGGGGGGGGGGGTCCCTCAATACATCACAAAACTGGATCTGTTAAAGGGTTACTGGCAGGTATCTTTGACTTTCGTCATGCCTGACAACTTCCTGCCATATACAGTGATGCCCTTTGGCCTTCGACATGCGCCTGCTCCATTTCAGCATTTAGAGTATACGGTACTTTCTGATGTACCAGGCCGTTTGGCATGCCTGGATGACCTTATTGTCTGCTCTCCTGATTGGTGCAGTAACATCCACACTTTGAGGGAGGTTTTTGAACGGTTGAAAAATGCTTCGCCGACAATCTCGTAAAATGTGAAGACGACGGTTATGCATTTCGGACATCAGGTGAGTCAAAGACAAAAGTGAAGTGGAATATCCAGTGTGACATTTTTCTCTGAAGTTCAATCAGCGTCAGTGTAACTATTCGGTAAGCGAGAAGGAAACCCTTGCTTTACTGTGGGCTTTGCAACATTTTGAAGTTTACCTTGGTTCCACCCACCTTCCTTTTGTTGTATATACTGATCACAACACACTTGTTTTTCTGTCCCAGATGCACAACCACAATCAGACTTATGTTTTGGCCATTACTCACACGGGGCTACTACCTTAATATCAGGCACAAGAAAGGGTCTGATAACATCATTGCAAATGCTTTGTCTAGGGCGTGAAGGACTCTCTTTTTGTGGGAGGGAGCGTGTTATTTCCAGAACGTAAAGACGGAGGCGTGTCTGGTAATGTGGCGGTTGGGTGTCGTCAGTTATATGCGTTTCAGATTGCAAAGGGGAAACCCGAACTTGGATGGACCAGATTGGTTTTGACAAGGTGGATGGGGTTTTCCGTATATCCCCCGTGCTATCATCCTTGCATCCTCCATTTTCTTTAGAACCTGTATTTTCTTAACCTGGTAAAAATCTCACCGCCATTATCACTCTGTCTGGAGACGTGTGAAAGCCTTATGACACCCTAAGGTTGTGGAGGAAGGTTTAGATGTGTGTGCACCTACACCCACCCATAGGAAGCCTTTGTTAAGCACACCGGGGGAGAAGGCGAGTGCCTAACCACTGGGGGGGAAAGGGAGGCCATATAGGGAGGTAGCGCGGGTTGTATTTAGTTCATTCCATTGGCACTGTCTAGCCTCCCGTCCTTAGCGGTAGGTATCATGATCGTCTCTGGGTTAATAGGATTCTCGTTCTATAATAAAACTCTCAGTGCGTGATATTTGAGTCTTTGTGTGTGTTTGCGGTTCACAGCACAACTTACAGGAGAACTTACCTCGTACCACTTGTTCACCCCTGACCTAGACCAGTGGGCTGCACTCACACCATTATGAATGTTTATTCATATGAACAGAAACGCAGAATAAATTAAAAATATAAAATGCATCAAATATTTCTATGTATGGGTGCACCACTTATATATGATGCAAATGATGCAATTTTCTTTAGATCAGAGCAGTTGCATACAAGAAAATATAGAAAGGATTTTTAAAACAGTTCTGTTCCTGTGCTCACAATGGAATTATCCAGAAACAGCACCTCACCAGTTAACCTCGTCATACACTTGTCATTCATAATATGGAGGAAAAAAATAAGCACTATATTATTACATTTTAGGAGTGGCACAATGGGTAGCATTGTTGCCTCACACCTCCAGGGTTCACGGTTCGAATCCCAGTGATGCTGCGTCTGTGGAGTTTGCATGTCCTCCCTGAGTCAAGTGGGTTTCCTTGCATAGACCACAAACATGCGGTTAGTCTAATTGGTGTTTTTAATTTGCCCACTGCATGTGAGCCATATACTGGCATCCTGAATGGGGTGTGGCCCGGCTTGGGATAGGCTTCAGGACCACTGACAGCCTAACCAGTATCAGCGAGGGGGATACAGAGAGATATTAGACATTTTACATATATGCTGTGTGTGAACCTGTATGTGAGTCAGCATGGGCCGGGGGGAGATGTTTGGCCTCAAAAATAGCATGAACCTTAGCAGGGAACACAGGTCAGGAGTTCACAGGCCAGATTTTCGCTAGGTTACCCAGCTTGATCAATGATGCACTAAAGGTGCTGCAGTCACGCTTCATTACCATGACGATAAAGAATGCCTGACGGGGGACTGACCGCTAAGAGCACTCGGCAAAACAACTGACTGTGATGGATGCAGGCAGTACCAAATTTAGCATTAAAGTAATGCTTCTGCATCAACTGAAGTATTTTCTAAAGTGTGTGTGTGTGTGTGTGTGATATATATATATATATATATATATATATANTATATATATATATATATATACACACACACACACACACACACACACACACACACACACACACACACACACACACACACATTACATAACACTATAAAGATAGACAGAGATAGATATAGACATACCAAGAGATATAGAGATAAATAAATAGAGCGATATACAGATATAGACAGTGATATACAGATATAGACAGTGATATACAGATATAGACAGTGATATACAGATATAGAGAGATAGATAGGGGCCTTTAAAAAAAGGTCTTAAAGTGGGCTATATATATATATATATATATATATATATATATATATATATATATATATATATATATATATATATATATATATATATATATAAAAATAAATATAAATAACACACACATTATTCATATAAATATTTTTAAATTGACAAGTAAAATTTCCTGTGTTAAAACGAAAGGCATACAATTAACCATTACAGTGACAACGATGGTTCAAAAGAACATTGGCAACTACAAACAACCATTCTCTCCGCTTAACATTGGCAAAATTTGGGTCATCTTTCCTGTTATTGCCCCCACTAAGAAGATAGGCACAAAAGATGTGGTCTAATTAATATTAATTTTCTAATGTGGCTTTACTGTGGTAGGAAAATAATTTTATCTGTTTTTGTTATATCGGAAAGATTAGGCTATTATTAAAAATACGATCACCAGACATGCCCAAAAATAACCATGGACAAGCATGAAATTATTTCTGCGCTGGTGTTTAATCAGGTCATTTGAGAGCAATTCGGGGGTCAGTTATTTTTAAATTTTATTTAATATAAACACGTTCTTATTGTGTACATAGACCCAGTATTAGTAGCAAATTGTTTTAAAACACATTTTCATGCAATACACAACACCAGAAAGCCTTAGATGAAAATTATGTTTAGAAACTAAGTGACATGATAGGATTGTTGTACGCTTCTTTATTACAATGAAACGCACAGAGCAGAACTGGACATGAACTTAACCTCGTTACAGGGTCTTTCACCTGCGGGCCAGGTGGATCTCCATTATTTTTCAAAGACATAAAGGCGCAATTGATCTATATGTTGATGAGAATCGCATAACGGAAATGGGCCCGATTCATAAGCAGGGAATTTTAGACAAAGCCAATGCTAACGTAAACGCACCATGCGTGTAGCATAATGACGCCGAACCGCGGGTGGTTTTCAGTTCGCGCGTTCGCCGGTCGTCTCGCATAAGGAATGGACGCCCTTTCAAGCATTTACCTGTGGTGGAGAGCACGGTGCTGGCGAAAAATAATGCGGAGGTGAAGTCCCAGTTCCAGTTGGCAGACGCGTTGTTCAGGATCGATACACCGTAGTTGCTGGCATCCAGCGCCTTGGCCAAAAACTCCTCAAGCCTATCCTCCGACAAACACTCGTTCTCCTGTAGAAACTGGCGCTTGATTGTCCGAAGCTCCTGCCGCAGGAGATCCTCGTAGGGCAGCTCCACGGAAGAGAAAACCACAGCGCCGAAGATGAGGTAGAGGACGTAGCCTAACACCAGGAACAAGAAATACCACGTTGATCTGTTGCTTTGTATCAATCGCACACAGGAATTGCTGGTGAGAGACTGCAACATCTTCCAGGAACCGTGCCTACGCTTTTTCCAGTAGACGAATAGGGTTGTTTTGACCTTCTGTTATAAATATAAATAAAGCGATGCTGTTTGAAGAAAAATGTTTCTATTTCATAGTATTTTGTCTCCGACTCGAAGAGTATCAGACGTAATAATTAGGGCCTTTCTCCCTTTGTGGCTGTTTCTCTTCGCTCCCCGATCTTTCTCCGAGGTTGATCGTTAAGCCAAGTAGCGAGATGATGTGGCAAATGACTTCAGGGGTGAACGAGTGACGTCGCCCGGTGTGTGCGGTGCGGTGCGGTGTGCATGTGTGCGCGCATGTGCGAGCGTCTCTTCCCCCAGGTAGCTGTTTAGAAGGAAAATTAACAGTACAAACCTGGTGTTCCACTTAACATCGGCTCTTGTAACCGTGTAATAGCAATATCTGTTATTTCTGCTCTGCAGATACCGCTGTGTATTTAATTAATTTAAATACGTCTTTCTTAATGAAAGAGAAAGTACTCCGCAAAGAATGTATCTTCGTTCTGTTCAATAAAGTGACGCTTCTTAAATATAGCAGGTATTACTTCAACAGCTAAGTTAGTTATTAGTAAGTGGGAACCCGTTTATCAATAACCGATTAGGAATGTAGGAATCCACTTGATGCGCAGAACTAAATAAATGTTTCTGTAACATTTATTGCCTAGCCCTAATATTTCCGAAGAGATATTTATTATTAAATATCCCATCCAGGACGAAAGACTTGATTATTGTCGTGATTCATCAGAATCATTGTGGGAAATAACTCTTATAGGATGTTCAGACTTATCTACATACTTCAGCACGTGTAAAGTACCCTGCTTTAAAGTGGGTTCGTGCTATTTTTAAAGCAAATATTGGTTGTCCTATTCCCCAGGGGAGCCTGTAATGCATGTTTTAATCAGTGAGTGGTTTATCACTGAAATGCCGACTAACACGAAAAAAGACCTCTATGACCTGGGTAAAGATCACACCTATACAAAAAAAAACTAGTATATCCTGTTTTTAAGGATGACAGATTTCTTATTGTTAATGTCTCCACCTCTCTGAAATAGTAGCCTGTCTGTGGATTGACGCAATACTGGAACTAGAGTAGGTGTTGTGGTTTGATACCGATTTCCTGGCAGGTCAAGTGTACTAAGCTGATTAGAGGAATGGCTGAGGAACCCAGGTTTTGTTCAGGGGTCCACAATCATGATCTCAACATGTTTTCTGGTGCTTCCTAAGCTTCTGAACAATCACTGTACTGGCTGGAAAGGCAGGGTAAATACATACACTCAGGGATTAGGTTTGTATTTACTTTGGATGAAAGGAAACCAAATATACACATGGGACTGGACAGATTTGGGGAACCCTGATTTAGTTAATGCTACAAATACTCCTTTCCCTTCAGCTATTTGCTATAGGAATAGCATAAGTATAATTGCCTCCCCCCCTCCATAAATTCCCACACATAGGTGAACAAAGAAATACATACTTCCAGCTTACATCAAAGGTAAGGCTGTACATCTGCAAATAACGCCAATATTTTTGCTGTATAATGAAAAAGCCATCATTATCCTCTACATCTTATAATCTGATCACAGACTTGTTGTTGTTACTCTGAAGAATGAACTTAGGTCCAGTAGGCTACCAACTTCTAGGAGAATGAGGCTGGACCTGGCCAGACTCCAAAATCAAACTGTTTCTAATGATTTTGCACGCAGTTTGTGTGAGGAACTTGCAGACTTGGGTGCAACTGCCAATTCTAATGTGACGTGAGAGACCTTTAGTGACAAGACCCTGAAGGTTGTGTTGGCATTGACGGTGTTCACAGAGGGAGGTGTTTCGTCTCGCTGGATATTATTGAGAGGAGTCGCAGTGCATGGCTTGATGGCAGTTCCAGTGTGTACTGGCAACAGAGAAGGACGGCTGCGAGGACCCTAAGGGCAGATAAGGAGGTGTATGTTAGAGGAATCTATGAGCAAATTACACGCCATTTATGGTCTAGCGACCCACATACTGCTTACAGAAGAACTCAAGCATTATTCACATCTGAATCGGTTCCTCAGAGTCGCAGTCAGGGTGACCTGCTGGACCGGCTACTTTGAGCAGCTGTTTAAAGCTGATCCTCCGGCTAGGACTTGGACATCTCAGGGTCCACAGCTCTTGAGGTTAATCCTCCAATTAGCTGTGAACCAGCCAGTCTCACTGAGATGCACAGGTGGTGAACCAGCTGAGGGTAGGGAAGGCCGCAGGGATCTGTGGTATCTGGGATGAACTTCTCCAGGCTGGTGGTAAGGCTGTCCTCCTGGCATTGCAGGCAATCTTTGCTTCCATTTGGGAGACGGGCATCATCCCAACTGACTTTAAAATGGGACTTGTTGTACCTATTTGGAAAAGGATGGGTGATCGCTTGGATTGCAGCAACTCCAGGGGTTAACACTGAAGAACACCCCTCAAGAAGCTTCAGGTCAGTGCTGGGTATGTCCCTTGCTAGGGTCATCCTTAACAGAATCCATGATCATTTGTTCTCCCTGAGGGTGGGACTGGACCGCGTGTTGGCCTGGGGGGCTGCCAACTGGGATGCCAAGGTGTTTCATCAGGTGGCGGGAGCGGAAGCACGCTATACCAGTGCATGCTCCCCAAACTGACCTGACCTGACCTGACCTGTGAAATGTCTCTGCAGTTCTTTCTTTGATATTTAATAATGTGGAAGGTTTGGCGCACTCTTTCACTGCGCATCAAAGCATTATTTTTCTCCTTCTGAAAATGGGATTTTGTTGCCTGCGGTAGCCCTGCATCTAGAAATAACTTTTTTTGTGACTATGGGGAATATATAGTCTAATGTAATGTAATATAATGTAATGTCTGTACACAGTCCATGGCCTAGCTGGTTCTCCCTGCCATTTTCCCAGTGTCCCGATTGACAGTACTCTTGGTTTCCATGGCAACTGGCTTTACAAAAATATCATTATTTTTTGCTGATGTTTTGAACATGATTGAGGTGAGTTAATCTGTTCCCGTAGCTATAAAACCAATGACTACTTACATTTTTTGTGTGACTGACTGCAGTTTTATCAATTGTAATCAAAAACAAAACATCATCCCTCAGCCACGCCCTATCCTGTCCTGTGCTGTTCTTGTGGGGCGGCTCCCAATGGCTGCAGTACTGGTGGAGGCAGTTTAATTATAGATATGAAAAGCCCTGTTATCAGTGAACCTACATATTTGAGGCCAGGGCGGGTCCCTTATCTCATGTTTGCTGTCAGAAATTACACAAACACAGCAGCTGGATGGGGGGGTATTTGCATAAAATCCACCTCCATTTCCCATTTATTATTTCTACATTGCCCTGGTTTTTTTTCTCTGATCAGAGGAGAATCACTTTGTCGAGATCATGATGAATCCTCATTGAAAAGGAGGAGTCCTATTTGTTTATATTGAGAAAACTGGAAGGGGCCACTTTTTGGATATGTGGGTAGGTTAAAATTGATTTTATTTGAAGAAAGGCACTGAAATGTATAGGTAGTTCTGCATAAGCGGTGTTGAAAGTTTGAAATGTAAATTGGGCTTCCTGCCTGAATGAGTGAGTGCAACAGAGATCACTATGACACTCTGCAGCATGAGACAAACACCATTTTTATGGGGAGCACTGTAGTGATATAGTAATCAATCAATGATTTGGGGGCAGGGGTGGGGGGGGGGAGTTATAGTGCAATGCAAAGCTTATACACAACAGCAATGAAAAAACCTGCCGCATTCCTTTAAAGCAGACAAATGAAACTGAAGAGTGGCGACAGAAAGACTTGTATCATCCAGTCATTGTTCATCATCACTTATCCAGGGCAGGGTAACTGAGTCTGGAGCCAATCCCAGGAAGTACGTACAGGGCACAAGGCAGAGGGCTCCCTGGATGGGATGCCAGTCCATTATGGCACGCACTCAGAAACACGATAGGCAATTTACAGATTCATGTAAACTGCCTTCCTTTGGAAACTTGCACAAGGACTGAACCCTCAGCACTTCAGGTGTGAGGCTATAGTGTGGCCCACTGTTAGATCTGCCATGCTGACTATATTAAAATGTTAATCTGCACAGATAAACTGGATTTCATTTGTATTTTATTTGTTAAAAGCTATTGTCTAATTTCGATTCTATTAGTGGTTCCGGCTGCTTTTATAGGTGTCGACGCAAAACACAAATAAGTTGACCTCCTGAGAAGTGAAAAATCACAGAAACTTTTTATTTATATAGTATGAGACAGAAACAAGGTAGTTGGTTGCCTCAGTGGCTGCGACAGCCATGATTAGCAAAAGGGAAGCCTGACACCCGGTTACCTCCCGGGCCTGCGGGTCCTGCTTCTCCCTGCCTTTTCCCCCAGTCCGGCTCTAGCTCCTCATTAAGAGACCTGCAGAAGAATAGATGTCACTCATAGGCTGCACACCCACCCCCCTCAACTCCAAGCGGGGTCGTCTCTATAAGGCAGAAGAGGAAGTAAAGCCACGATTCTAGACACCAGAGGACAGGAGGGAAGAGACTGTGCTGGATATGTAGGTATTTTATTTAGGAACCATTGCATTATGCATCGGTTAGGCATCGGTCCTGTGGCCTCACGCCTTCTGGATTGGGGGTGGATACCAGCCCATGCTCTGTGCGTAGGTGGAGTTTGAATCTTCTTCCTGTGTTTGCAGGGATCTCTTCCCACAGTGTAATAGCATATGGTTCAGACGAGTGTCACAACTAAATTTCCCACACTGAGTGAGAGTGTGCCCTGTGATGAACTGGCATCCCATCCAGGGTGTGCCCTACCTTGTGCCCTGTGATGAACTGGCATCCCATCCAGGGTGTGCCCTACCTTGTGCCCTGTGATGAACTGGCATCCCATCCAGGGTGTGCCCTACCTTGTGCCCTGTGCTGCCTGGAATTGTACTCGGGGCTCAGCCTGCTTCCCTAGTAGATAAACAGTTATGGGTGATGGATAGATATTTTGATGATGTTGACACCCAAGATCGTGATTGTGTGGATATTGCGCTGAAAAAAAAAATGAAACTGCAATCTTATAATAGGATGACTTGAAACTCTGATGGAGAAGCAGCTGTGAGATGCCCCTCCACCGCTGTGTTTGGGTTTCCCTCAGTGGGCTAATTCTGAACCTGGGCCTGAACCAGGCTCATTTATAAGAGCGTGAGGTTAGCATCGGCACACAGGATTCATGACGAATGTCTCCGTTATGGGGAGCAGGTGTGGCACCTATCGCTGATGGAAAACGTCTGCTGCCCTGGGGAGCAAGGAGCACAGCACAGCCATGGGAAATGCTTCCTCATAAATATCCTCCTATTTTCCTCGTCTTCTGACACCAAAATGTGCATCGTAGCTGAGGGACACCTAGCATATAGATTACTTACTAGAACACTAAAACAAGTATTTTAGGTTTTCAAAATATCCCTAATGTGTTAATTAAAAATACACCACGTAGATGGTCCATGTTTAAGATAATAAATGCTAGTTCATATTAAAAACTCACCTGGTTCACTGTTTTTGAGCAGGGTGGTGTGATGGACAGTGAGCACTGTTTTACTCGCAACTTTCAGCGACGGGGGTTCGAATTCTGCTTCTGCGTCATGTGTACAGTTTGCATGTTCTCCATGTGTTGTGTCTGAAGACATGCAGTTAGGTTGATTGGTATCTCTAATTTTCTCATAGTGTGTATGTAATGACATCCTATCCATGGTGTTCTGCTACCTTGGTGCCCAGTGCTGCCTGGCACAGACTCTGGCTTCCCCACAACCTTGATCAGGATAAGTAGTTAGAAGATGGATGCACGGATAATTTTCTGCACAATCTAGCCTCATCATCAATGCCGCCATCATTCTGGCTCGAGTGACATTTCGACATCGGAACATAAGCATGAGCCTTTAGAAAGTGACAGTGGTCTGGACTTTTTGAAGCAGTTTCCCTTTAAGGGAATCATTTTTTTCCGACTCACTACCTGCTCATCCCGATGTCCTCTGCGGTCTGTAGGCCTATTTTAAGCCTCAGTGTGTCTCGCGCTAAGGTCACTGCGGTAAATTCAGCGCTTCTCTTTCACACAGGCGACGGTAAGGACTGGATGATACCCGATGATACCCGAGTCTTTCTCACATACTTGAACATTACAGTTACTCCCTGTTAGTGGCCAAGTAGAACTTACGTGTTTTTGCACTGGGAGTACTACACAACATTCTCTCAGTTATGGTAGTACGTCATAAGAGTTAGACTTGGGAATTTGTGCTTCTGAAGACTGGTGCTTTTGAATGTGACTTCTTGTTCCCCACTCTGTGGTAGCAGCAGCCCAGAATAGACACTGTTCTATTGCTGGGTGTTATTTCTAGACTCAGCATTGGGAACCTGAGATTCCTAACAGGACTTTGGCAATTAGAAGTCAGTCCAAGGTTGTCTGCTAAATGTTTCCATTCTGTTGGGCAAGACGGTGGCTTGGTGAGAGGGTGGAAGGACCCAAAGGGCTGGGGGTTAATCAGAAAAGCGGAGATCTGTGTCAGACCGAGCACAGCCAGGATGGGTGGGGCCATCTTATCCTTCTCCATCAGTCACGAAAGTAAACAGGCTGAGCGTTTCGTGAGCGGGGCTCCACACATTACAGTAACCGGAGTCTGTACGTTAAACACTCCTGAAATTTCCAGCTCAGCTTTTGCTTCAGGACCGTCAGATTGAGAGGGAGAGCCAACGAGTAACAATGGCAACCTGATGGCTTGTGGGGTTTATTTTTCTTTATGTTCTGTAGGAAAAATTGGAGGGAAAGTCATCTAAGTCGCCATCTGATCATCCATAATTCAATAAGTGTGTCATGGTTATGAAATTTACTGTAGCCCAGTGAGAGCCGTGCTCCTCCCTTCAGAGCGGTTAATAATAGAGGGTGTATGAAGCCTGGGTGACTTCAAATTTTTCTACTGGAAGTTTAGTTTTCTGCAGATAGGGTATTTAAAGAGAGGCATAAATATCAGATTAGGAAACAAACGGGAAGGCCTAGCTGTGGGTGATGGTGAGTGGTCATGGTGAACTTTGGGGCATTACTGGTGTTTACATTTGTTCAGAAACACAGAAGCATTTTACAATTATTTGAATTTTTGTTTTAATAATAACTATATGCAGGTATATCCATCTTCTATAACTAGTTTAAGGTTCTGGGGAACCTGGAGCAAATCACAGAAGGCACAGAGGTCACACAGGATGAGGACCTCCATCATAAAATCGTAAGTGGCACCTTGCACATGCATTTATTTGGTCTTGCTGCTGTTTCCCCTTCTAAATTTAAAATTTGACTGTCCTGCACATCATGCCGCCCACAATTTGTTTGCTAAAGTGTCTACAGTGCACAGGCACAGAGGTGTGTCAGCATATAGGGCCCCCAGCCATGCGGGCATGTAGGGGCCCCAGCCATTAGGGCGTGTAGGGCCCCAGCCATGTGGGCGTGTAGGGGCCCCAGCCATGCTGGTGTATAGGGGCCCCAGCCATGCGGGTGTGTAGGGGCCCCAGCCATGCGGGTGTGTAGGGGCCCCAGCCATGTGGGTGTGTAGGGGCCCCAGCCATGCGGGTGTGTAGGGCCCCCAGCCATGCGGGAGTGTAGGGCCCCCAGCCATGTGGGCATGTAGGGGCCCCAGCCATGCGGGCGTGTAGGGGCCCCAGCCATGCGGGTGTGTAGGGGCCCCAGCCATGTGGGCGTGTAGGGACCCCAGCCATGCTGGTGTGTAGGGGCCCCAGCCATGCGGGTGTGTAGGGACCCCAGCCATGCTGGTGTGTAGGGGCCCCAGCCATGCGGGTGTGTAGGGCCCCCAGCCAGGCTGGAGTGTAGGGGCCCCAGCCATGTGGGCGTGTAAGGGCCCCAGCCATGTGGGTGTGTAGGGCCCCCGGCCATGCGGGAGTGTAGGGGCCCCAGCCATGCTGGTGTGTATGACCCCCAGCCATGCGGGTGTGTAGGGCCCCCGGCCATGCGGGAGTGTAGGGGCCCCCGGCCATGCGGGTGTGTATGGCCCCCAGCCATGCGGGTGTGTAGGGCCACCAGCCATGCAGGAGTGTGGCTACGGTGCTGTCACATTCAGTTCATGCTTTTCCTTCCATTTGATTGCCTTATTATTTAGAATGAAGCTTCCATTTAGAAGCATTGAGTAATTTGTGTTGTTTTTTAATAAGTTAACATATAACCAGCCTGTCATTGGTGTGTAGGTAATATTCATATGGATCTTCTCATCAGCTGTACAATATAGGGTATATTATAAATTCCAGCACATTGGTGTAACTCTAATCACTACTTCTGCCTGGGCAGCAGTCCAGTCTAAAGCACTGTATGAGACCGTTTGATAGAGAATAATTGGGTATTGGTGGTGAACTAGTGTATTCTGGCTGCTGTCCATGTAATGTGCTGGGACACGTTGTATAGTGTGGGTTGCAGCTATCAACCCAGGTAAGTGTGGATGGGAGAGTCCATATATTACCATGCTGCCAGACTGTAAATTGCTACTTGGAAGTGCCTGATAGAGCGAGAGGAGAGGAGAGGAGAGGAGAGGAGAGGAGAGGGAGTCTGTCTCTCACCAGACAATTTGTCATTCCCTCACCTTCATCACTGGACATCACTGGCAAATCCATAAATACACCGGAAGCTATGAAGCATCCCATAGGTATCTCAACCCCTGAATATCATTAACAGAGCATAATTCATACAATATTACTGTATTTCCCCACCATAACTACCACCTTCTGAAGGCCACAGACCTCCACAAACACTGCAGATCTTGAATATCCTGAACTATGATATTATTTACATCAGTCTCCTTGGTGTACCTCTCTCTTCATCATAGTGCATGATTAGCAAATCAGTTCTACAATCATTGTAGAACAGATGCCACCTAACTCAACGTTTCGGTGATTTAAATATGTTTCCTTTGATACATTGAATGATAAAGACTATTTGAAAAGTTCAAGGTATGTCCTATATATATCTTTTAAAGAGTCTTTTACCATCTGGCTTTTGTTGGGTCAGTATAAATAACTTGTAGGCTCTTCCAAGCCCAGAAACAGGCTATGGTGTTGTGGAGTCTTATGGGAAAAAGGCACTAGACCAGGGACAACACATTCCTTATAGGTGTGTATGTGCAATAGCAGGAATGCTTGTGCATTGCATGTCCTTTGCAGAGTCTGAAAACGTTCTGGTTAGGCTCATCCATCTTTCTTAGCAGGCCTCAAGCTCCCCAATTTTGTGGGTTTAAACAATATTATTCCTCAGTCACTCTAGGTGACAGCCTGGTCACACTGCCCCCCTCAGGATTTTGCAAGGTACTTACATGATTTGATTGATGGAGCAGAGCATTTTTTGTAAAACTACTTGTATCTATGTGTGATGCCTCCAGGTCACAGGAATGGCCTAAATCAATGGCATTGTTAGTCACTAACTACATGGCATTAACAATGGAGGCTGAAGATGAATGATTTTGAAGGCACTTCAAATCCCCACTCGTGATGCATAGCATCTTCTCCTCATCCTCCTCATCATCACCATCAATCTGTGTGATCCAGCCACAGACTCCAAGCCAAAGCAAGTACCACTATAAGGTATGTTGGCATAATTATGTGTAAAGAAACTGTAAACTACTTGCAACCTTAGAGACACCTGACTCTCATTTTCCTATGAGAAAATACACTATATGGACAGCAGTATTAGGACACACCTCTTAATCACTGAATGTTTCATTCAGACCCATTGCCACAGGTGTAAAAAATCAAGCACGTAACCATGCAGACAGGTTTACAAACATTTGTGAAAGAATGGGTCGTTCTGAAGAGCTCAGTGAATTCAACTGTGACACTGTCATAGGATGTCACCTTTGCAATAAGTCAGTACGTGAATCTTCTTCCCTGCTAGATATTCCATGGTCAACTGTAAGTGGTATTACTGCAAAGTGGAAGCGTGTAGGAACAACAGAAGCTCAGCCACGTAAAGTAACAGACGGGGTCACCGAGTGCTGAGGTGCAGAAGTGCATAGTGTGTAAAAGTTGCCAACACTCTGTTGCCTCAATTACTACAGAGATCCAGACTACTTCTGGCATTAACTCCAGCATAAAAACTGTGCACTGGGTGCTTCATGGAATGGGCTTCCATGGCCGAGCAGCTGCATGTAAGCCTCACATCACCAAGTGCACTGCCAAGCGTTAGATGGAGTGATGTAAAGCACGCTGCCATCAAACTCTAGAACAGTGGAAATGTGTTATATGGAGTGAAAAACCATACTCCTCTGTCTAGTAGTGTGATTGATGAATCTGGGTTTAGCAGATGCCAGGAGAACATTACCTGCCTGACTTCACTGTGCCATCTGTAAAGTTTGGTGGCAGAGGGATAATGGTATGGGGTTGTTTTTCAGGGGTTGGACTACGCCCCTTAGTTCCAGTGATGGGATTATTTGGATTAATGCTTCAGTGTACCAAGACGTTCTGGACAATTCTGTGCTTCCTACTTTGTGGGAACAGTTTGAGGAAGGCCCTTTTCAGTTCCAGCATGACTGCGCCCCAGTGCCCAAACCAAGGTCCATAAAGACACGGTTGGGTGAGTTTGGTGCAGAAGAACTTGATTTGCCTCCCTAGCCCCAACCCCATCACACACCTCTGGGATGAATCAGAACAGAGATTACGAGCCAGACCTTCACGTCCAACATCATTGTATGACCTCTCAAACCTCTTCCGGATAAATGGGCAAAAATTCCTACAGACACACTCCAAAATCTTGTGTAAATCCTTCCCAGAAGACTGGCAGCTGTTATAGCTGCAAAGGGGGGACCAACTCCATATTGATGCCTATGGACTATAGAATTGGAAGTCATAAAGGTTCCTGTAGATGTAATGGCCAGGTGTCACAGTACTTTTGTCCATATAGTGTACCTTTCCTGGAAGAGCTGCTTAGAGAGGTTGTGCCCTTAGCACAGCAGCATCCCCAGCAGATCTGTCGGTGCATGTGTCTTACGAAAACAACTTTTTAAAAATTAAATCCAGGGTGCACACTTTTTTTGAAAGTGTATGTGGAGTGAGGAAATGTGCTCCCAATATGCTGCCCAGCTGTTAGCGACTGTGCCCACTGACTTTGGTAGGGGGGGGGGGGAAGGATGGGGGTCTGTAATTCAAGATCATTACTTATACAGACCCGTTTCCAAGAAAGTTGAAATGCTGTGTAAAATGTAAATAAGAACAGAATGCAACGATTTACGAATCATATAAACCCATATTAAGTTGAAAATAGAACAAAGACAACGTATCAAATGTTGAAACTGAGAAATTTTGCTTTTTTGACGAATATATGGTCAATTTGAATCTAATGCCAGCAACATGTTTCAAAACAGTTTAAAGACACTCTGTAAAGGTTTGGGAACTGAGGAGATCAGTTGCTGGAGTGAAATGTTGTCCCATTCTTACCTGATGTAGGATTTCAACTGCTCAACAGTTCAAGGTCTCCTTTGTTGTTCTTTTCTTTTCATGATGTGGTGAATGTTTTCAATGGGCGACAGGTCTGGACTGCAGGCAGGTCAGTCTAGGACCCAGAAGCTTCTGCTATAAAGCCATGCTGTTGTAATATGTGCAGAATGCAGTTCGGCATTGTTTTGCTGAAATATACAGGACCTTCTCTGAAAAAAAAGTCTGTATGGCAGCATATCTTGCTCCAATACCTGTACATGTTGTTCAGTATTAATGGTGCCTTCCCAGATGTGCAAGCTACCCAAGTCATGAGCACTAATGCACCCCCATACCTCTTTAGCTCGGAAGTCACGGCGTCCATATTTTCCCAAAAGAATTTGAAATTTTGATTCATCAGACCACAGGACAGTTTTCCATTTTGCCTCAGTCCATCTTAAATGAGCTCAGGCCCAGAGAAGTCGGCAGCGTTTCAGGATCATGTTTAGATGTTTTCTTCTTTGCATGGTTAAGTTTCATCCTACATTTGTGGATGCAGTGATGAACTGTGTTCTCAGAAAGTGGTTTTCAAAAGTGTTCCTGAGCCCATGCAGCGATTCCCACTATAGAATCATGTCTGTTTTTAATGCAGTGCCACCTGAGAAACTGAAGATCACAGCTATCCAATACTGGTTTTTGGCCTAGACCTTGTAAAATTTGTTGCTGGCATCAAATTATAATTGAATATATATTTGTCATAAAACAATATAATTTCTCAGTTTCAACATTCAATATGTTGTCTTTGTTCTATTTTCAATTAAATATGGGTTTATATGATTTATAAACACTGCACTCTGCTTTTATTTACATTGTACACAGCATCACAACTTTTTTTGGAAATTGAGTTGTATTTTAACAATTTTATTACCCATTTTACCCATAAGCATGAAGTTCGACTTCCTGGAATTGTTCTAAGAAATTTTGATGTGAATAATAACATAACAGAGGGCAACAGAAGGAACTGTCCCTAAAAAGTGAAACATTGTCTGTAATTCACACATTATGCTGACACATTTACATAATCTTGGAGGGAACTCGAACCACCGGCTGCCAGACCCGAGTCGTGGGGCATGTGGCACAAAGCCAGCACCGCAGTGACTCAGCGCCAGCAGACGTCAGCTTCTCAGCGGGTTTGGCATCCATGGCATTCCGGCACCTTCCGTGGAGGGGGCTTCACCTGCTGTCTGTTCATCTGGGTCCAAAATGAAGAATATTACTGTCAAAAATGTAGCTACACAACTTTCAGGTTTTACATTCATTTTTTTCCTCTGTGTATTTACCCACAGCAATGAAATAGGTAAAAAAAAATCTTGTGAAGGGTGAATTGATTAAGGTTAGAATATAACATGTTATTTAAAAAAATACACAAACTCTTCACAGTAGTTAACCTGTATAAAAACCTGGACTGTCTGGGGGTTTCTGAGGACCAATTTGAGAAACACTGGAAATAACAGGTTCCTCTGATTGCATGTTTTAGATGTGGCCATAGTAACCACCAAATTTATCCATGCTGCTCTGAGATGTGATGGCATGGCATCGGCGAGTCTCTCTACCAGACCCATTCTCAGCTGAATAGAGCAAAGCATTGTGGGAGTGCCTGGTGCCCTGTATGATTAGCACAAATTCTTGGATCGGCGCCATGATGCTTCTGTTTCCAACGCGACCAGAACATGCTCTGTAAGTCTATGGCGCAGTGTAGGTTGCCTGGAGACAAGAAAATAGTGAGTAGATTTCATCTTTGGTTTCAGAATTGAAATTATCAGCTCCCTTGTAGATTGACACAGGACATTTATATGGGAATTCACTATTTCATATTTACTGCCTTTTATATTGTCTTGCTGAAAACTGGAAACCTGGAAAGTCACTGATGTGTGGAGAGAAACATACACCTCTTTTCCAATTTTGTTAAAACCATTTTAATTTGCATTTTCCAAGCATAAGGCTTGGAAGTATTCTCAAAGTAATCAGGTATAAAATTCACACATTTCTATCTACCACATCACACATCACATCATGCAAACATGACCTCATGTGTTTTTGTGCTAAGTGTGAGTGTGAGAGGACACTCACTCACTCCTGAGTATCAACTAAACTTGAAACTGTTGTTCAATCCCAACTCAGGCTGAGGTCCAGAGTCCACTACACCTGGTGTTATAATCACTACCTACAATTAAAAAGATCGGCTACTTTCATAAAGTCATGTAATAAAACACTAGGGAAGCCATGGAAAATTAAAACAACATGAATGAAATTTCATTGTATTCCAAATGAGCATTACAGGTAGGTGAGTTGGTGAAAAATACTTGCGTCACACTATTCAGCCTTTTACACCCTTCTTTGTGTTATGGGCTGTTTCAAAATCAGTCTTTTGTACGTAAATGCTTAGCTTGTAATTAAAACGCTTGAGTCCATGCTAAACCGTGCCTCCATAGACGACTAAAATTTTATGCCCATTTATTCTTTTTTAACACGCTTATCGGCTAATAAACATCAACCTGCGCAGATCCGACTGCAAACCCGACACCAGCGTAAGAGTGACACCTTGTGGTTACACTGCACAACTTTTAGAAAGTAATACAGAACATTGTAAAGTTAGGTTGCACACAAGAATCATATATTACACTAATAAATAAACCACAACTATTAGATGTATAAGAAAAAACATCCTTGCTGTGATAATCAAGACACGTATATGTTCCAGTTCACAGTTAAATTCACAAACCTATCACGGCCTTGAAGCAGTGTGATGCCACTGGCCCGGCTCTCGCATTACTGGGAAATGAACGGAGTTACAGTAAGGAATTTGTTTTCCTTCTCGCAAGGCCTTTGCGCTCCCAAAAATGAGGGCAAGATCACGCAATGGCTTGTTTTATTTGATGAAATACGGAGACTGCAGCTGCCCAGTGAGCTCTTGAAGGACTGGGCCGCTCATCTCTTTGCCAGCCAGGGTACGCAATCAAAAGAAAAACAGGAGAAATAAATTCAACCGGCCTGTTAAAGGTGCAGGGTGCATCCCAAGTACATTACTTTTGCTCCTCAGCCAGAGGAGGGATGGGCTGTATATCTTTGGACTTGAGACTTAAATATCATGGTTGGAATCACACGCGTGACCCCATGCTTAATAAATGCAAGCAAAAAACGGATCCACATTAATTTTTCTAAACTAGAAATAATAATCTAGAACTGATTATTTTAATTGGTATAGCCTACGGAAAGACATTTGTCAAAATATAGGCTTATTCTCCGAAATTTTAACACTTTAGATTAAGACATCGCGAATTTAGGATTTCCGTGCGGTCACAATCACGCCGGTCTTATCTTTATTAACTGGCTTTAGCGAACCACAAATTTATTTCCGCAGTAAACACGATACAACTGGGCTGCGTCATGTTGCCGTTTCCACAATGACGCAGCAAAAGTAACAGTATGACTCATGTAAAACACTAAATTGTTAAATATCGAACAGTATAAACGTTTAATATGTAAGTGCAATACTATATGCAACACTATAAGCTCCTCTATTTTCAGTTCCCTTTATTTCACCTGAGACAAGCGTATTTGGTGTAAAGATTTGCTCATGGGCGGAGTTGGGGGGGACGGGACGGCAATGTCGCCACCCTAGTCGTCTGAGTGGAAACTGCAATTAATTGGCAAGACCCGCATGTTTCATGCTAGCACAGAAGCAGTTTGTTGGTACCCTATAGGTATACAAAGTAATAGGTTATAAGTATATGCATCAGAAACGTGCGTTAACACATAAGACAGGCAAGATACCCTTTTTGCCACCCCCCCCCCAGGTGCAAACACCAACTTCTGATTATGGATTTGCCCTGCCACTTGGAAACCAATATGAACGTTTCATCACATAGGCCAGGGGTGCCCAACTCCAGTCCTGGAGGGCCGGAGCCCTGTGTAGCTTAGTTCTTTCCCTGTTCCACCATAAATGATAATTTATGCACAAGGAGATGAATCAGGTGTGTTAAATGAGGGGAAATCCAAAAATGTGCAGGGCTCTGGCCCTCCAGGACTGGATTTAGGCACCCCTGACATAGCCCTATACGGAAGGTCCTGTTAAAACGGCAGTACAGTCTTGATGGCTGTGAAATACCAAGGGATTATTTCCCATAAAGGAATGTGGTCTTTTCCGACAATTGGTGCCCTGCATCGGAAACGCAGTTTGGAGATACTTATTACTGGCATGTGAACAGAGACCCCAGTGACCTCAGATGACTGGTCCCATTTGAAAGACCCGTTGTTCTGGGCGGCTCTTTCCTGAGAGTTTAACGGAAGCGTCCCTATCTGCCCAAGCAGTCGGTCTACATGCTGTGACAGAGTGAGATCTGTTCCCACTTCTGCAGCTGGACCCACCACTGACCTGGCAGGAAGTAGGATGATCTGGGAACGAGTGTAATTCCCAAGATGAAAAGGACATTTCCGTAGAAGAAAATATATGAAAAAGAATCCTACAGATCGCGCTGTGCAATCTACAATGAATTGTTCAGTTTAACTTTAAGTGATTTGTAGTTTTTATTTAGCAGATGTCCACAGGGGTAATAGGCTACTATTATGCTGCACAAATACAAAAGTTGTATTAATGTACTTAAATAGTTTTATACGTCACAAATCACGTAATTGAAGTTGCATCAGTTTATGGAAAATTAAGTATTAAAATTAAAGCTATACGATATTCTTGGAGTAAGATGGGTCTATCCAATAAAGTTATAGACTTTTGCTGTACATGAACGTGGCACACTCCTGAAAATACCTGGAGATATTCATAAAAATTTTTAAAGGGAAAGTCTGCTAATGCTTGTGTGCACGGATGCATGTCCCCTGCTTTTATGAGAGCGTGATTGCTGTTCCTCCTGCCCCTTTCCTGGCATGCTGATATCGCGACCCAGTCATGCAGGGCGACACCGCGGGTGTGAATTTCTGAAACGATATTAGCTACTACTACACTCACTAAACTAACGGAATTGGATTTGACAGTCGACTTAAATGCACCATCAAGCAAAAATCAGGTCAATTAAAATGTTTAAAGTTTAAAAAATACTGCAATATTTTTTTGTGTTACCATTTTGTCATAGCTATTGAAAAAAAAATTACATGAGCTTCCATTAATCACTTTTGTCTAAATTGATACAATGACGCAATTGTTTTTACATACCAGGATGACATAATCACTTTATTAAATTTATGGTATTGCATGCATTGCTAGTTGTGTATAGATCTAGAATATAAAAGCATATTTTCTATTAGTCCTAAACACGGTGTTTTCCTACGTTGCAACCTCGCGCCTCTTTTGGTTAACAGGTCCCACGCTGTAATTGGAGACTGGAGCAGTTCAGAAGTCGTCACGGCGGCTGGCTGATGTACTGCTCGGGTTGCCGTAGCAATGATCTCTGTCACTCTCTCAATGAGCGCTGGTAAGATGGCGTCCGCAGACACACGGACGAGCTTGGACTCTGCAGGCGGCTAGAGAAAGCAAGCAGCCAAGCAGCCGATTTATCCAGCTCTTGCATAAAAAACAGCGCAGATCGCGGTAGTCTCTGGCCCGTCATGGTGGGTCTTGTGCACGGTTAGATCCGAGCCTACCTCGCATCGGTATGGAGCCCCCGGACAGCGGCGAGCCCAGCAGGTAAGCGGATGGGAGTAAACGGTGCGGTTTGCGAACATGAACTACACGGCCGGGACCTGACAGCTGCCAAATAGTGAGCCGCAGGTGAAACGAGGCCGAAGAGGTTGCTGCGCCTGCGCATTGCATGGCTATTGTCTTCCTGCCAAATAGTGGTCTGCGTGCAGTTGCAAGCTCAAGTCAATTTGTGGTGTTGAAGTTTCTGAACTTTTGGAGGAAAATCTGCATCCGTGTGCACATTTGCATGGGCGTAAAGCACTCTTGCGAGTAGAGGGGGAGCTGGCGAAAATGCTTGTCTTTTGAAAAAGGTAAAAAATACTGCAAAAGGCACGCTTGACACATTTCAGCACCGGTAAGCCGATAGTTAGCCTTTTAGTTAGCTACTTCTCGCCGTATTGTCTGCAATGTATTCAGAAAGTTTGTAGAGCAATCAAAGGCGATCTGACGGTGAGGAAGAACAAATGCATTCGCATCCTGTCTTCTGCGATTGCAGACACCGCTTAAAAGGCGATCCAGATGTGTTTGCACGCAACAGTTGAGTGCCACCGCTGCCTGATGCGACTGCTGGGTTTTTATTACCAGCCGTGTGTCTTTGTCTGACTTTCCGCTGCGCTGGGTGGGCAGAATGAGAAGAGTTAAAAGTTTGCAGGGTAGTTTACAAACGCTCAGTTTGTCCCGGCTGGAGCCCGAAACACCACGCCGTGTGCTCAAGTGGTACTGGTGCGGCAGCCTGGTTATTTTTATATACTTTTTTTTGCAACTGCGATCTGACTGCATCAGTTAACTGATTTGAATTGCAGGTCAAGTGTGTTGTGTATTTTCACCAAAGCGCAGTCCATTGCTCTCCACCGTCCAGTTTTAAATAAACTAGATGGTCTCTTTTTTATTATAAGAATTTTCGGACTGGAAATGCGGCACAATGGAGCGGGTCTTTTGTCCGATTGACACAAAACTAGTTGTGTGATAGCTAGACCACCTAGCCAACTGATTCGAAATTAATTTATTCGTGCAGTTTCGAAAGGCATCGAAACTAGTTAAATGTGCTTTAAAATGCATCAGGTTGGCCCAGAATTAAACCGCGTTAACAGTTTAGTAATAGGGATAACACCACTTTTTGATTTTTGATTAATTGCATCTCAAGTTTAAGCCTGTGGCTGATTACTCATGACTAACCGATTGAAGCTGTTGGTTTGTTTGGTTACCATCACTGAAAGTGTTATTCTTTTGTTATGAACAGATCACCGTGCATGAGAGTGTTATCGACATTCTTCACGTTTCTTAGATTTTTATTTTTGTCAGTGTTTTGCTGATCCTGTCACTGCCTTCATGTGGCATCGACTTAGAGAGTGAAACTGTCTGCTCATCCGTTCCTCGAAAATGGGAACATTAGCAGTGAATGTGCATGAATGTTACAATTGCACATAGATTAGGGCTCGTGTTTTTTGTTTTTTTTTTTTGCTTCATGTGTGGCTAACTGCTAAACCTTAGTCCTATGCGGCAGCAGTGTGGTACGTCAGAGATGCTAACTCCCTGGCAGAGTCACTAAAGGAGGATGGATCCTCAAAAGGCTGCCGGGAATTTGGGTCGAGTCTCCTTCTGGAACTGCCTTTGTTTTGTGTGTCTGTGCATGCACTGTGTGTGTGTGTGTGTGTGTGGGTGGGGGGGGGTGAATACTTAACAGATGATGTGACGATAAGCTCACTCGCATACCCCAGGAAAACGGGGCCTTCCTGTAACACTCAGGAATGTCACAGGCGACGCCACTGAAGGAGGGCAAACAAAGCGCGTGATTGTGCAACTACCGGTGCCTCGCGGCGTCTGCACACCCCATGAAAATCGCAGTGTTTACTGTAGTACGGATTGACATCCCCGGCGAGCGGCAATCTGGCATGGTGTCAGAGTAACGGTCTTACAGCCCCCCCATCTCTCTATGCCCTACAGTAGACGCTGGCTGGTGTGCATTTGCACGTTCGTTTGTCAGCAGACCCCAAAGAACCGGGGGACCCTGAACGTCTCCCAAGTTTGTAGCTGTTGTTGATCCCGCCCAGGTCCCTGTTAGCATGCACAGCATGTAATCACTTACGATCCAGCAGAACATGCTGTCTGGTGCTCTCGGGGTGGGGGGTGCGGTCAGGATCAGCCGTGCTGTGATTCTCATTCCACTCCTGTGTTTATTGTGTGTTCTTTGGGGTAGGGACATGCATGGTGTTTTGTTTTGCTTAAAGGGGGAGATGCATTTTCGGCGATTGCAGGGGTTCTGGCTCAGTGCCTGTAGCTGGCAGCCTCCGATAGTGACTCGTGTCGTCAGTGTCACCCTGGACCTGGGAGGTGTTACACTTGTGCTGACTTGGGAAGGGTCAAGGTCATTTTGAGGAAGGGGAAATTACTAAGAAGGAAATCTATTGCCTGGGACTCCCCACGGCCACTGGGAGGGGCCAGGCCTCTTATCAGTCTGTCTATCACCAAAGCCGCCTGATACCTCGCGCCCTGGTTTACTGTACATTTGCTGTCTGGAATGCTTGGGAATTGGCCTGCAGAAGCAGACTTCTGGCTGCCGGGGGGTGTTAACTTGTGCAGTTGCACGCTGTCCCTCAGCACTGTTATATAAAGCGTCTGACAGACTGTGCCATGCTGCAGTTAGTGGGCTGTTTTTCTCCTGGAGACATTGCAGACGCGCAGGCTGGCTGTGCTCTGCGCTGGGAGGAAGACGAGCTGTCCCACGGCCGGCGTGGCTCGGCACCCCGGGGAAGCCAACCGGCCAGGCCTTTTCTTGGCTCTGCTGAACCTGCAGCAGGTTGCCGCTGTGTCCCCGAAGAGGGGAAGCGAGGATTTACTAGGGGGAAGGAGTGTGGGGGGGGGGGGTAGCTTTGAGTCAAATTTGATCATTGAGAGTGACCTGCTCCTGGTCCAAGTGTGAGTGTGTGGGGTCTGAAGTGAGTGTAGGCCGTATTGCTTTCAGGTATCTTGCTTTCATTGAAGAATGTTTAATTTTTGCCTCGTTAAGATGCATTTTAATACTTTTTTTTCCCCCCCTCACAATGGCTGCCGCTGTTAGGCTTTCATGTGCTGGGTGTCCTGAAAATGCAATGTCACCCAGACTGGAGTCACTTTGGTTTCAAAGGGCACTATGGGAAATGCAGGCAATCAGATTCCTCCCTGATAAGGGTGTGCGGTTTCCTCCGGAGCAGGGAGCACTGTCCGTGGTTATGGTTACGGGTGGCAGCACGTGTCAGCCAACCTCCTGCACAGGGTGGGGCTGCTTTTCGTCTCGTTCTCCCTGGATTCCTTCACCCTCATGAAGACACTGCTCTGATTGGCTCCCGGCTTGTCACTCTGCATTCTGAATGTGTGTTATATGGGCAATAGGGGAGCTAGTGAGCAAGGCACCATGGGAAAGTGAGTGGATCAGAGGCAGGTGGAGGGGAGGATGAGCAGCAAAGGGGTCTGCAGCTCGACTGGCTGGCATGAGCCTCTGGGAGACGCCAGTCAGCAGAGAAACGGGGGTGAGGCCCTGGGGCTGGGTGATGTCATTCGGACCTTGACGTGTGCCCTGGGCCGTGGCAGCTTGGCATAGTGGTGGAGCCGGGCGGGTCAGGAGCCCGCAGATTCCCGTAAAGAGGGGCGGACTGCATGTTTGGGAGCAAGGCGATTCCCGGGAATGGACATGGAAAGCTTTTAACTGCGATGGCTGGTCGACCGAACAGAAGCAATTATACAAGTTAGAAATGTCTAATAGTGAAGCAGTGTTTCAGTGAAGGTAGTGTTGGGTGCACCTTGGTTTCTTAGATAAAGGGTGTGTGGAGATCCCCAATCCTTTTGCGTCCTGCCCGCGTTTGCATTTAAGGCCTTGCGTGTGCGTGCCTGCGTGCATGTTCCTCCAGAGAGGGACACAGCGCGAGAGCAGCTGTAAGTCATTAGTGTAAGAGGTGAAGAGTAAGTCGCAGTTTGTTGGGCCGTCGTCCGTGCCAGTTGACTTACTTTGCTTGATTTACGTTTATTTTAGTAGATACTTTTGTAGCCCAGTGGTGGCATTGGTCTGCTGGCCACGGGATTCGCACCAGTGACTTTCTGATCATGGACATGTGCTCTTAACCTGAAGAGCCACACACACACACGATTCCACTTTATTTTTTTTTCATAGTCCTCCATGTTTGGGAATGGCCTCCCGTATGCTATCTACCTAGCAACGGGCTTCTGTGGCAAGCCAGCGTGTCGACACGCTCTTTGCATTCACGCACTGGGCTTGGGGCGGCGCACTGGAGCGCGCTTGGCTTGAGTCATGAGCCGCCTGACATCCCGCCTTTGTGTGGTCATGAGACCTGTAATGTGCGACTGCACCCATCACTGGATATAAAACATGCCCAGTTTTACTAAGATTTTCTATTCAACAACCCCCCCCCACCATTGTCTTAGTACATTCTCTCCTTCTTTCCATCCTTTATGCTTCGTGTTGCTGTGGATATTGTGGAAGAGACCAGCTGTGATTGGGTAGGGGGGGGGGGTGCGCGCATGTGGATGTGGTTCGATTAAATCACTCGTGTGATTTGACAAGCGGCTGCTCTCTAGTAGGGGTTAATTTCAATGTACTGAACTGTACACCTTTTGTTTTTTGTTTGTTTTAGTCAGTTTAGTTTCCGTGTTAAAAACAGCAGTTGTGCTGCTTCAGTGGCCATGAGTCAATAAAAAGTGACATTGTCAAGAAGTGTTTCCTTTGGGTGCATAAAGCAGGTTTTGTTAGGGCATTATGTGGCCTTGCTTGGAGGGGTGGCGTCCTCTTTGTAAATGAATTCCTCTCTTCCTGCTCCTCCCCCTTCCCCAAAGTGCCGGTTCCTCGCAGCCCTTCAGTTATCCGTCCGCTGCCCTCTTAACCTTACGGGAAGCTGGGGCTTCTGAGAAAGCTGGGTCCTGACGGTATCTCTGGGCTGCCGGCCCACCCCGGCCGCGGGCCTGCTGCTCGCAGCAGCTTTACATAATTGTATTCGTCTGTGCGATTGGCACAGAGACCTTGTGTGTATCTCAGCGCCACATGCAGCCTGTAATTGTGGGATTTTTTTTGCCTCGGGACTGAGAGTGTGATTGCTGTAACATAGCGTGTTTTTTTTTTTTCCTTTGACCAATCTAAAGCAGTTTCTCTCTCTCTCTCCCTCCCTCTCTCTCTCTTTCTGTCTTTCTGTGTCATGCTGTTTCCTCTGGGCCTCCTTAGCTGGGGAGGTGTGCCCGCACGCCCTCCTAGTGTCCCGTGACAACCAAACAAACGCACAACAGTGAAGGAGAAATAAGCACGATTTCTCCCGATGAGCCCATTGCTGGGGAATGATCCTCACGGTGGCGCTGTGACTGCCGCTGCACAGACATGCACACGAAAACACTGAATGTTTAAAGGTTCAGCTATGCTTTGTTTGTCTGGGGACTTTTGTACTGTCCCTGGTGGCGCCGGTTGTGGGTCTGATAGCCGGGAGGTACCATCTCTGAGTGGTTGTGCTGTTACTGCCGCCCTTGTCCCCGTTTTAGAAAGCACATTACGGACATGCTACTTGGCTTTTATGGCACGTGTCAACGTCTGCCCCCCCCATACCCCGCCTCCTCCCCCCTCTCACCCCGCCTCCCCCCTCCTCACGAACCCTGAGAGGCTGCTTTGGTGGGGCGGCTGCTGTTACTGCGGCAGCGGTGGAGAAGTTTTAGCAGTGAGACACTCGAGTTTTGGCCCTGCTCTGAGTGAGCAGCTTAGTGGGCTCAACCTGCAATAAATACGCCCCGTGAAAGTGATCCCGCTGTCTCACCAGATCCCGGGGGGGGGGGGGGGGGGGGGGGCGGGGGGGGAGGAAAAAATTGAGGGGGGGGGGGTGGGGGGGGGGGGGGGGGCCGGCCCCTCCCTCCCCCCTTTTTTCGCCCCCCCGCCCCCCCCCCCCCCCCCTTTATAATCATGTTTAAAAAAGCGCTGGTAGAACAAAGACCCGTGCGTGTAATCTGCCTGCTCGTTGCATTCATTGTGCTTCTCTTTTCTCCTGAAAGGAACCTTTCAAGGGGCTGACCCCCCCCCCCCCATTCTTTGTATTTGAAAATATAACTGGCCCCCAGCTGATCGTGCTCCTTTAAACTGTGGTGCTTGGTGGCTGGCATTATTGGGGAAGGCTCTTCTGCATCCTTTAAAAGCTCTGTATTAGCCTGCTGACCTTTTGACCCCGCGCGGTGGTCAGGGATGCTCTGGCTGCAGGGAGGTCGGGGATGGCCATTCACACCGTATCTCAGCCAGCAGCAGCAGCTTTAAGGCCTTTTCTCTCAGCCTCCAAATAAGCAGCAGCGCTGTTTAGGGTTGTCTGTTGACTGATCTGATTGTTGGGTTTTCATTGGCAGGTGAGAGACCAGCTGTCATTGATTGTCGTAATTGTAGCTTGTTGTGCTCATTCCATTGACCACAAAGCTAAAATCAAACCCAGTCAGGCTCTCAGTCCTGTGTTGTGTCCCTTCCTTCCCCCCCCCCCCCCAGACAGGAGGATTCCTCTGAAGATGGTTCCCATCGGAACCCCGAGGTGGACGACCTGTGGGACGAGCCCAGCGAGGAAGAGGAAGCACTGTACAGCACCTCCCCACCCCGCACCCCCCGCCAGATGAAACGTATGTCCGGCAAGCACCAGAGAAACAGCCTGGCCAGAGCCCCCGGACGCCCCCCCAACAAGGGTGAGGGTCAAAGCTGCCTCAGCCTGCAGGGCTGCTGTCCCATCTGGTTAAGGGACTTGAATTCTTTTAGACCCCTATAATAAACCTACCAGGTTGCTGAACGTCCTGATTATTTCTAGTAACCGTAGCAGTACTGGGCTGTAAAGGGAAAAAATAATTCTCCTGGGTCATTGGGCTCACTAGTGACTATCTGCGCTCTCAGTGGACTAGGATCCCCTGTTAGAGAATATTAAGTGCTTGGGCCAAACCTTTAAGCCACTGAAATATCACCTTTCACACATTGTTCCATGCCTCTGCTCCACGCCTGCACTGATGGTGCTTGCTGTCTTTTGCATAATAAACAGAAAAGTTTTAACGCTGAATATTAGTTTTGTGAAATAATTTCTGCAGGGTTATTTTATATGGACAAATTGTGAGTTGACTGAGTGGCGCCACCACTGGAGTGATCAGGAAATGCGCCCTGCACTCAGAGGGAGGCCGTCATCCTGATAGTTGCCTCAGCAGTGATTTTGATTTCATTTTCCCTCTTGTTGTTAAAGTTCAAGAGATGGTTAGGTTGATAAACCAATAACGAGGAAGCAGGAATCTGCCTGCAGGAAATAACTTTATTGAGAAAGGATTCTTTTTAAATTTAAATACGTGAGTAGTCAGTCATCACACAAGTTAGTCAAAACAAAAGGGATCATACTCAAGCTCCCTGTGTAGAAAATCCAAATAAGTCATATGTCCTTTAATTCCTGGAACACAGAATCCCCAGCGAGACAGAGTGGGAGGGTATCTTACAACCTCAGATTCAGTGTTTGCTCGCTCCAACATTTAATAATTTTTTTCATTTTTAATCCCCGACCCCCCGAAAGCATAGACTCTGATCACTGTTTTCTTCTTGTGCTCCAGTAGAGAAAGTGACCCCTCCCAGCCAGTCGGACCCCCACGAGGAGTACAGCTACAAGCACGGCAAGAAGCAGCGGGACACGCTTCGTTCCACCGAGCGCGACCACAAGAAGACCTTTGAGGGCTCCTTCATGCTGGAACCCCTGTCCAAGGCCAGCCCCTTCGGAGTCCTAAGCATGGAGCCGCGGAAGCCCTACCTAAGCCTGGGCTGCAGCAGCAAGCTTCCGCTCAGCATGCCGCACCATGTGGGACGGACGCACCGGCAGACCTCGCGCACCGACTGCCCTGCCGACCGCCTCAAGTTCTTTGAGACGCTGCGGCTTCTGCTCAAACTCACCTCCATGTCCTCCAAGAAGAAGGAGAAGGAGCAGCGTGGCCCGGAGAACTCCGCCTTCATGGGCCAGAACAATGAGGTCATCTGGCTGGAGCTGCAGGCCTGGCACGCCCACCGCAGCATCAATGACCAGGATGTCTTCCTGTACACTGCCCGGCAGGCCATCCCCGACATCATCGAGGAGGTGCTCCGCTTCAAGGTCAACTACCGCAGCCTGGGTTTGCTGGTGGACACCGAGGAGGCGGAGCCTGAGCAGGGGGATGGGACTCATGATGTGGTGGGTGGTGGGCCTGAAGCAGAGGGGGGCGGAGACGCCGCTGGATCGGGTCTCTGTGACCTCCCGGCTTTTCAGGGCTGCGAGCTGGAGGACGACGCGGCGGATGCCTTCCGGGGGCACGTGCAGAGGCAGCGGCTGGCCTTTGAGCAGGTCAAGCAGGTCATGGAGACCCTGGAGTCGGTGGAGGCGCTCTACCCGTCACTGCAGTCCCTTCAGAAGGCTAATGAAAAGTATGCAGCCCGCGACTTCCAGGCCAGGGTGCAGGCACTCTGCCTGTGGCTCAACATCACCAAGGACCTGAACCAGAAGCTTCGGGTCATGGGCACTGTACTGGGTCTCAGGGACTTGTCCCGCTTGGGCTGGCCTGTTTTTGAGATGCCATCCCCCCGCTGCTCACGGGGCACCGAGGAGGATGAGGAGGAGGATGGCGAGGAGGATGAGGAGAACGACTCCACCGCCACCTACACGGCCGACAGCGACGTAGAAGACGGACAGCCAGCAAGCGAACGCACATCGAACCTGACACCGAAGCTGGCCCGCCTCTTCTCGGAGGAGGACTTTCTTTCTTCCTCCAACGAGCAGGCGGGAGCTGGAGAAACCGAGGCGGGTGGGGGGACAGGAGGAGGAGGAGGGGGCCAGCGCTGCACCACCTCCATCTATAGGCCCTTTGTGGACAAGGCGCTGAAGCAGATGGGGCTACGGAAGCTGATCCTCAGGCTGCACAAGCTGATGGACCGCTCACTGCAGAGGTCCCGTGCCGCGCTGCTGAGTCACGCCGAGCCGGTGCAGGAGGTGAGGGCAGGCCGGGGGTGGGGCTTAACATGCTGGAGGGATGTCGTAAGTAACCAATCAGAGCCCTGAGTCAACAGCATCTGTCCCCTTAGTATTCAAATGCTTTGTCTTTTCCTTTATAATACTCTAAGTTTTGTTGAAAATATAAAGCATGCAGATTTGCCAGCTCTTCTGCAAAGTCCACAAGTCCTCCTAGCAGTGTTTTACCATTGGCCTTTCATGTATTACTGCTCTCAAACCTGGCGTGATCCGGTGATGTTCTGGGGATGTGTTCTGGTCCTCCGTCACACGGTGCTTCCACGGTCTTTAGATGTTTTTGGGTGAACTGATCTGTGTTCTAATGCACAAATGATGTGCACCAATGCTTTCTGAATGAATCCAAGAGCTTTGAATGACGACCGAAGGCCCGTCAGCGTAAAATAGATGAGAAACTGACGTGCTCTGTTCTGTATGCATCGTCCCTGTCGAAGGAGACTCTCACGATGTTCTGTTTTTCCACGGTGCCCTGCAGTTCTCCGAATGTGCAGACCCCCTCCTGTACAGTGACTACCTGCCTGAGCTCTGCCGGAACCTGTCCTGCAGCAGCCCCGGCAACGAGGAGGCGGAGACGGGACTTGTGTCGTGGGCGGAGCTTCTGGCCATGGACCTCCCCTCTTTCCAGCCCGCTTTCCTGGCACTTTGCCGCGTGCAGCTCAACGTGATCCACGAGTGCCTGAAGCTGAGGCTGGAGCAGAGGCCCGCTGGAGAGCCGTCGCTTCTCAGCATCAAACAGGTCCATAATATAAAAAAAAAAACTACTGATAAAAAGTAAAATTTACTTAAAAGTAAATCAAAATAAAATAAATATCCATTAAGGGGCACATTTAGAAAATTAACTGTACCTGACCTATATTGTGTTCATATTAGCAGCTGTCATATTAGAACACAAGTATTGTTTCAAAAAATATAAAGCATAACAAAATAAATATCCATTATGGTTCAGCATTTAAAAAAATACCTGTACTATACTGCTGATAGTGGAGTATCTTCACGTACTGGTTTACCTGTATTCGCCGCAACTAAGCCCGCATGCGGAGTGGCGTGACTTCATCCGCCCCTTTCCGAATGTTGCTTGGGGGAAACTCGCACACACACAAAGGTTCCGCGTTTGCCCTATTCGTACGGTACGTATGCAAGTACCGTTACACTCCTACTACTCCATGTAGTTGTCTGATCGTTTTTATTCTCCTGATATTAAGCCATTGATACCTGGTTTTGTGTACGTGTCCTTGATTTGCTCTGAGGGTATGGTCTGCAGTAAACGCATTTTATTGTGCATGGGAAATCCCCGGCTGGAAATGCAGCCTATCTCTGTGTGTTGCAGTTGGTGCGCGAGTGCAAAGAGGTTCTCCGAGGGGGACTCTTGATGAAGCAGTACTATCAGTACATGCTGCGTGGCGTGGCGACGGACCCTCAGGGCCTGCAGTCCAACACCAACATAGACGACTTCGAGGAGGACCTCCACAAGATGCTCATGGTAGGACAGCCCACTGCCTGGAGGGGAAGGGAGAGCAACAAAGGTTTCCAAAGCTCTGGAAAGTAGTTTGGGCTAACGGCTAACCCAAAGGGCTACTGGATTGGCCTCCTGATTGTTGGGCCTGAGGTCATTGCAGCCCCCCTGCTTCATACTGTAACCTGACAACCAGCTTCCTATAAAAGACACGATTAAACAACCGCCAACGGTAACTTGCCAGTCTGCTAAGTGTATCTGACAGGTGGTGTAATGGATATTGAACTGGACAAAAGGTTGCAGGTTCAGGTATCTGCAATGGAGCTGCTCTACCTCCCTTGAGTCCAGCAGTTACCCGGTTGGGTAAATATGCAGTAATATAAATGGGCGGAATCTGAAACCAAACACGAGTCCTATTCGGTGAACAGTTGGCTTCTGAGTAGCACAGACCTGACTGTCGCTGTCAGCTTTTTTTTTTGCAGATGTAACTCCCCTGGGAGTTGGGGCAGGGATCTTACATCTTCATTTCAGGAAGCACCTGAAGGTCAAAGTTCACTGGCATTGTTTTGAGGCCATAAAAGATCGTTAAGTTAAGCGCTGAATGACACTCTGGGGCGAGGCGGGGGGGAATGTCTTTGTGGCGTCAGCTGACGCAGATTAGTTTTATGGCATTCTTTTGGCTGGCTTTCTGCTGATTGGAGGAGCTTTTTGACACGTTATTGGCCAAATTCCGAAGCAATGAGGTTAGATGTCTAGAGTATCTGGAGCAGTGTTTCCCAATCCGGTCCTTGGGGACCCACAGTTGGTCCATGTTTTTGCTCCCTTCGAGCTCCCTGCCAGACAGAACACATATATGGTCCCTCCTAGCTTCCAGGAGGCGCAAAAACGTGGGCGGTCTCTGAGTCCCAGAGGACCGGCTTGGGAAACACTGAAATTGAGAATATGGAGTGTGTGTGTTTGCAAAGGCTAATAAAATAAACTCGATAGTGAGAGTTTCAACAGGAACTTAAACTCTGTGTGGTGTTTATGTGGAAAGTACCTTCTAATTGTCAATTAACAGGAGAGAAGGTTTGGTTGGGTGACTCAGTTTTGACCAGGAGCGATCCAAGAACACAAAAGCAAGGGGATTTTAACTGAATTCGGTGTCTTAGTTTAAGTTTATCCTGCATTATGAATTTACATTGATAACTAAGTGTAGAAGATGTGTGTTGTACACTGCGGGAATTACCCCTGCCCCCCCGACCGTCCCCATCCCCGCTCCAGGTGTACTTCGACTATATGCGAAGCTGGATCCAGATGCTTCAGCAGCTGCCCCAGGCATCACACAGTTTGAAGAACCTCCTGGAGGAGGAGTGGAACTTCACCAAGGTCATCACGCCCTACATCCGGGGCGGCGAGGCCCAGTCAGGCAAGCTGTTCTGGTAGGTACCTCCTTGTAAGATTTGCAGCTTCTCAATATCCGTGCGTCCGTCCATCCATCCATCCGTCCATCCATCCATCTCTGGGCCATGGTGAGCTTAGCACACATTTCCATCTGTTTTATTTATCTTAATTTCATTTTGGCTGCTCAGTCCCAGCTCTGATGCAGCCAGGCTGGTTTTCTTAATGCTCAAGTTTGTGTCGTACAAAAAATGGTAGCACTTCACACCTGAATGAATCTTTCATGTGTTTGATGGACCACTGGAAGTCATTTGCCTGTTAGCATCTACAAAGAGATGCTTTGAATGAGGGACTCTTTGAAAATGCTGAGGAAATTCCAGATTGATTTTTACTGCAGTAGATTCACATTCACTGTTATGTTCATCTCTTATACTGGTCTTAATAATGATAGGAAGGGGCTCTTATACCAAAAAATGAATTTTGCAGAGTAAATAATGAGCTGCCAGTTAGACTGACAGCTGGCCACAGCTGTAATACCTGAGATGGGCCCTGTAACAACACTCCGCCTGCTGTGCCCTTCTGATATCTGTGTCTTGCAGTGACATCGCTGGAATGCTGCTCAAGTCTACCGGGGACTTCCTGGACGCTGGGCTGCAGCGGAGCGGAGACGAGTTCTGGGAAAGCGCTGACGACAGTGCTGCCTCCGACGAAATCCGGTAAGGTTGGAGTCACTGGTCCCAGGCCAGTTGGAGAGGTTCAGGAACTATTCCGGTTCCTGGATCTCGGGATCTGACATCGGCTTAGCCAAGGGCATTTGTGCAAAGTAATGAGTGATTAGCGTCTGCAGGAATTATGATTAATTAGAGCTAGAGCACCAGGAAAGTAGTGACGTGTTGATTTAGTCCAAAAGTGTTTAGCAGATAGAAATTTTTTGATCAAATTAATAGATTTTTGCTTTGTACATGTTTGTTTATGATGTCCACGGACCCTCCATGATTCAGCAAAGAATCTGTGTTTGTTGGTCATAAGCGCTTCTGTCCAGCATGGAGGCCGTGTCCCGACTGACTCTGTTCTCTTGGAAGGCGTTCTGTGATTGAGACTAGCCGCTCTCTCAAGGAGCTCTTCCATGAGGCCAGAGAGCGGGCGTCCAAAGGACTGGGCTTTGCCAAGATGCTACGGAAGGTGAGGCCTCTTCCCCCAGGGCGTGACATCTTTCCCAGAGCTGTCCTGCAGTAGCCTTTCTCTAACCCCCACCTTGGCTGTGCTCCACCAACTTCTGCAGGACTTGGAGATTGCTGCAGATTTCACCATCGCCGCTGGAGTTCCTGGCCTCCTTGAGGCCCTCAAGGAAAAGAACTATGTGAAGGTAGGAGGAACTGGGTAACGCTTCACTTACGCTCATTTTTGAGAAAGATGTTGGACTTGGTCTTTTAGCCTTAATAAGTATGGAACTGATGCATATTAATGCATCATTGAGATGCTCCCTTGACTCTGTTATATAACGCATTGCTTCTTGCTGCCTGTCTTCTCTCCTGTGTGCCGATATTATGAACTTGCCTGTTTTAATGCCTCAGCCTCCATCTCATGTCTCATCTCTTCTTGGCGTCCTCAGGTCCAGATTCCGGGGCTGGACGAGCTGCAGGTGTTCGTCCCCTCCGGCCTGGTCTCCCAGCGTCCCATCATCCTTCAGTTGCTCAACGCAGCAGCGGGCAAGGACTGCTCCAAGGAGCCTGATGAAATGGCGGAGGATGAGGCCTACCTCCTCATGAGCAAGCAGGGAGCCGGGGACTCGCCTGGTGAGGCCAGCTGGGTGCAGTGGGATGGGACCCTGCTCAAGCTGGTGCCTCAGATGGAGACGGTGGACACGCTCAGAGCCATGAAGGTTGGAGTTTGCCGTAGCTCTCCCTGTTCGGTATTCTAAATTTAGTGTATGCTTTTGTATACCTCGGTAGAGTCTGAGTTATAAAAAATGCCCTTGTCATCACGGGTTTGGCATGTGAAGCCAGATTTAGTAGCATTGTTAGCATTCTTGGCGCTTGTGCTGGGTTAGTGGAAAGATAAGCTGCGTAATGTGTGAGACTGCGGAGTCTGACTCATGGGAGGACTCGATGTGGGATTGGACGACTCGCCTCAGTTGCTCTCATCTTCCCATGGGCGATTTTGTCGCCTGCCCTCTCTCTGCAGATCGACAACCTGCTACTGGTGGCGATGCAGTCAGTCCACCTGGCGACCCAACGCAAGGCCTTCCAACAGTCCATGGATGACCTACTGACCCTGCGCTGCGAGCAGACCTCCAGTCAGCCCCTTATCGCCAAGGCGCTTAAGCAGCTCAAGGTAGCTCATCCCTCTAGAAGCTTGACAATGTCCCTGTCTGGTACTTTCCCCATCTACGTGCACTTTCACTATGATGTACCAAGGTGCTCGCAGCCTAAATCCCAAAGTGCGTTTTGCAGCCTTTAAAAATTGCTAGTTAAGTGCAATTTTTGTGGCTTTTTATATAAATAAACTTATGGAAAATAAGTGCATAAAATTGTGCATAAACTGTGGTCACCCTAACTGCAGAAAAACTAGTTCTACCAGAATAGACTCAATGGTTCATCATTTGGAGCTACGATTTCCTCTGTTGCTGGTTGGGTTCAGTGCTTCCTGTGCGGTGGCGTCGTGGTCGAGGTCTGGCCTAGTTAAAGGATGCTCGCGGGTCGCCATGTGCTTCTGCCGTCTGGTGCGAACCGCCCTGCCGAGAAATGGGGCCCCCTGGCGTGAAATTTCACTCGTCCTTGCAGAACGAGGCCCTGCAGCTGTGTATCAAGATCAACGCTGTCATCGACCGGGTGGAGTACATGTTCACGTCTGACTTTGAGGCCGAGGTGGAGGATTGTGAGTCGACCACGCTCCATCACTATTACCGTGAAGCCATGATCCAGGGCTACAACTTTGCCTTTGAGGTCAGTGTTCAGGGACTGACTGGCCTGTTTACTCAGTATGGGATTGAGCATCACACCTCCCACCATGCTAGAATGTTCTAAGTTCTAAACTGTAGAGTTACATTAGTGAACTGGGGTCTATACTCATATAAGTAATAGTTTTTTTTTTTCCAAGTATCTCAAGCTTTTTCCCTCATTTTGATCACTTACTTAATATTTCTGCAAATGTCGAATACTAATATTATACTGATAAAGTTACATATGGATCCTGAACACTGTTACCTGACAGTATTTCATTCATTCAGTCATTCATGGCAGTCCTCAAAGTATTTGCTGTTTTATTTTATTTTTGACTTTATTTCGTGGGAGTTTTCTATGGGGAAATGTTTCAGGGACATGCCACATCCGGGGGATTTCCGTTAACCCCATCACTGGTATGTAATGAGCTTGTCATGAATGATGCCGTTATCCTCAGTGAGATGTCTGGCATTCATGGTGACGCTGTGAAAGGGCAGGGCAAGCATCAGCGTGGGTGTCACAGCCATTCAGAAATGCTAATTCACTGCAGAGTGGCGCCCCCAGCTGTGGGGTTACGGCATGTTAGTCATGCCGTAGATTTTTTCGCTTTCTCCTAAAAAATGAGAGCATTGAGCTTCGAGTCAAAGATAAAATTTCCGAATTCCAGAGTCTAAAAATGTGTTGAATTCTTGCTCTGTGGCATAAAAGGCGATTTATGAAAATGCACATGCGTTCTGCACATTTGAGCCTTATTACAGAACTTCAATGCTTCAGTTTCATCCAGTGATTCACATGCAGTTTGATTGTAGGTGCTAATGATGCAGATGTTTCAGCTTCTGCTTGCTCAGAACTTGAAGACTGATGACTCTTAAGTATTTGATATAATAAGCAATTGGTTGTTGAAGCTCGGACGTAGCTCCAGTGATGTAGCTTCACTGGATGTGTTCCGTTTCTGTCACAGTACCACAAGGAGGTGGTGCGCCTGATGTCAGGGGATTTCCGGCAGCGCATCGGCGAGCGCTACATCGCCTTCGCCCGTAAGTGGATGAACTACGTGCTGACGAAGTGCGAGAGTGGGCGTGGCACGCGGCCCAGGTACGTCTGCCCGCTGGAACCACGGGATCTGCCGCCTGCCGGGGGTCTGTAGCTACGGCGACACCAGTGACGCTGCTCTCCCCTTGCAGGTGGGCTACACAGGGCTTCGACTTCCTCCAGGCCATCGAGCCCGCCTTCATCTCGGCGCTGCCTGAGGATGACTTCCTGGTGAATGCCGTGCATCACGCTTCTCTGTTTTGTTTGCGGGGTGTAAATCATTGTTTGCCTTGTAGGGTTGCATTTTTAAAAGCATCACTGGCACAGTCTGGGTTAACTGCACTTCAGAAGGGTCCAACGTAAAACTTCAAAGGCTTTGGGTTGTTGGAAAACGCTGTGTGCTACACGTCTGTTTCTCTGTCCTTTAGAGTCTGCAGGCTCTGATGAACGAATGCATTGGTCATGTGATCGGCAAGCCCCACAGCCCCGTCAGCGGCTTTTACCTCCGTAAGGCCCCACCCACTTCTCTCCTCATACTAAGCATAAAGTACACAGCTCTGCCCGGAAGTTGTGTGATGGATCATTTGTGCATAAATATCTGTGAATATACAGCATTGACACAGATGACTGACACCCTCTGGTGGTTGCAAGCAGTAATTGCAGCACCTTGTGGCGACCCTGCATCTTCATCCTGAGCTACTGGCAACGTGTATATTAGGGTGATGGCTGCATGAGTATTATCTCGCCTGTCTGTTCAGCCCCCAGGAACCCTCGACCCGTCAAGGTGCCCCGCTGCCACAGCGATCCCCCGAACCCCAATCTGTTTATCGGCAATGCTGAGGGATTCAGGTAAAACCGGTGCCGTTCACACTGACCCAGCCCCCCCCCCCCCCACCAGTCTCCATGTGTATGTCTGTCCCTCATTTCTCTGCATGGGTCTTCCGTCTCCTGCAGTTACTGGTTTCTTGGACAGGTGGTTTAACTCTTAACCTAGTATTAATGCTTAGTTTTCCAATGCTCTGCACATTAACGTTTTGCAAGCAGGTGTGCGAGTCACCGTTCCTCCAAGCAACACCCGTATCGCCCTTATCTTAGGGTCGGCCTGGCTCGTATGAGTAGCCCATTTCACACATGTGATGGCATTCAAAAGTAAATTGGGAATCCTGCCAGAGTGCCCCAGTTTCTCAAGGCGTGGTATGTGTTCTCGTGCTCTGTGCCCATTCCGGCCATCTCGGAGTGCCCGCTTCTGAGACGGGGTGCTCCGCGCCCGGGGCTCGGACCCCCAGCCTGTCCACCCGTTGGGATTCTTCAGCCTGCTTTTTCGCCGCAGCTCTCGGAGTCTCCCCTGCGACCTCCGGACCCCACCGTGCCCCACTGGCCCCCGCCCTGCCCCGCAGGGCCCCGGGGACCCGAGCCTCACCAAAACACCCGGCAGCACCCCCAATGACCTCAGGTAGCGTTGCCCCTGCCCCAAGCGGCCTCTTCTCGATCACCACCCCTACCCCCGGTGGTGCTTCTCCACCTCCCTCCCTGCCAGCAGGCGACCCTCTGCACGTGAAGCTCCGCCCATGTTTGCAGTGCCCCCCCCCCCCAGCTCATCTGTTTGCATTCAATTAATTGGCAGAATAATGGAGAACTGCTTATAAAACAACAATATATTCAGACTTTACAAACAGATACCAGTGTGCGTGGTATTTTTGGAAGCTTATATTAAAACTACCCATGGATTATGTCTACAGTTACTATATGTAAGGTTCAGCAGCGCCGCTGGATGAATGGCTGGACTGCTTGATATGTTTAGAAAACCAATCAAGTTAACATCTTTGCCCCAAGTTCTCCTTTAATCAGCAAATTGATTGATGCAGGCAGCACTGAACGTACTTAAGATGGCAGATTGACACAAACGCTTTCGGTGAACCCAGAACCACATCCTTTCCCAAACTGGCGGAATGTCAAGTGAACGTGCCTGAACACCGGGGGATGTTGCCCAGAGACCAGGAGAGTGTTAAAGGTTGAGTTGATGGGAGGGGGGAGGTGAGGTGTCGTTTGAATCGTCAACCTGAAATTTCGCACGGGCTCATCCGGACCACGACTGCGTGATGTGTGATTTTCACACGGATGTGGAGGCTATGTGAGTGAATGGGCCCCGCCGTATGTCTGTGCTAACCTGCTAACAGCAGAAGCTGCTTTCACGCCTAACCCTCTCCTTCCTCTGGGTCTACTCCTGTCTCTCCATTGTGGCAGCGCTAACACACTGTTAAACCTTCTCATGTGTCTGTGCTGTCATTCGGGACAGGGGGGTGTTACAAAGGGGGGGGGGGTCGGTCGGTGAGACAAACACCTATCATTGCAGGCCTACTCACTGCACCGGCTGGCGACTCGTCGTGTTTCTCTGGAAAGGTGTGTTTGTGTGTGTGTGTGTGTCAGTGTACTGTGTCGGCTGATATTGGATGTGTGTGACGATCGACTGAATGTAGTTGCTAAAGTGTGAACCAGGGGGAGGTGACCACAGGTGAGTCAACCAACAAGATGGAGTTCAGATTAGATTAGATAAGAATTTTCCCCTGGGATGAATAAAAGTTTGAGTTGGTTTAGTTGGAGTGGATGGTGACTATAGTGAAAAATGACACTGTGACTGAGTTTTTGTTGGTGAAAAGAAGGGGTATGAGAGCTGGGAGGGGGTGGACTTGCTGTTTTGGGGAAGATGCTCTGCTGTTTTGGTTGACAGTGTCCAACTCATCTGCACAGAAGCTCTAACCTCCATGACAATGACCGCCTGTCATCAGTGGCTGCGGAGCTACATTTCAAATCCCTGAGTCGACACTCCAGTCCCACCGAAGACCGGGAAGGTGAGGGAGCGTAACTACCTCTCCTCTGCCTTGGACTAGTTGGATTCTACCATTTTGAACATTGTTTGTAGTGATTCTTCTCACAGATTGTCGTTGTCAATTTGTTGAACCAATCGGAAGCCTGTCCATTTGTGTGATGTTCATTTTATTTTTTTTTTCTTTGATTCCTTTTCTCCGCCCATCAGAGCCATCGTACCCGAAGGGTGACCCCAGCACGACAGCTAGGCGAAGCTGGGAGCTTCGTACCTTCATCAGCCAGTCAAAAGGTGGGTTGGAGCGGCTGTTCAGCATCTGCTGCATGCTTTACCTGTTTCTGTCGTGTTCCAAGCACAGAATCTCCCAGTGCACCCGCTTAATCTATTTACTGATGAGGTGAAACATTTGATTACTTTGGTTGTTTGTTTGCGTACATGCTGCTCTATCATTAAACAGTAGGGCGCCATTTTTTTTACCCCGTTGCCACGTTTGATTCCTCTCACCGTAACTGTGACCCCCCCCCACCCCCCCCCACCGATCCCTGCCCTGCCCTGGCCACCTCGCCGCCTCCCCCAGATGTCCGGCAGAGCCCCATGGAGGCAGTGCGCCGGTCCATCCGCACCTACGAGGACAAGCGCTACGCCATCATGAAACAGCGGAACATCATTGGCCAAGTGTGCCACAAGCCCAAGTCCTATGACAATGTCATGCACGTGGGCCTGAGGAAGGTCACCTTCAAGTGGCAGAGGGGCAATAAGATAGGTACGCTGTCACATCCCCCTCCGTGGTGCTCTCTGCTTAGCTTGGCTTAGGGAGTTCTGATGGTTCAGATGGTTATACATCTGATGTTATATATTATATATTCTGATGGTTATACATCTGCTGTCGATGGGTTTGGTAATACTCTGTATGAAGCATGGCAGTGTAGTAATGTTTGGCTTATATAAGGATGTAACGGTGCGTAAAATTCCTGGTTCAGTACAAACCTTGGTTTTACGCTCATGGTTTGGTGCGGTTTCGGTTAAGCAAGGAAAATCATTTTTTTTTCCAAATTATCGATTTTTAAAACTGCAAAAACAATTGGGAAAAGTTGTTCACCAAAGGTAATGCATCTGTCAACGTGTCTGAATGACAATTTATGAGATGCTTACTTGCACATTTGTAAAAATAAATATTAAATATTTGTAAAAATATATAAACCGCAAACTACCGAGTATGGTTGCATATCTGTAAGCATAGACACCCCTGCAATCATAAATGTTTTTTGCCCAGTCTGAATTTCCGGACAATAATGCATTAAATACCACGGTGAGACTAACTTGCAGAGGCTGTTTTTGCCTTGCTCTGGTCGTGCCGCTGATGATGTCAGGGCGCTGGGTGCGTTTCTGGCAACATTATCCGAGTTCAGTATAACAGATCCGACAGATAGACTTGGTCTTATCAACTACTCTCCCTTCAGTGTTGGGGTAATTTATTAGGTCAAAATATTCCCAAACCGCTCATTATGATGAGCTAACCAGCAATAGCTGTAACCAACTCATTAGCGTAACATTTTCCATGTTGAGCTTATACTAGAGGTCGACCGATATGGGTTTTTTCAATTTAGGAGTCAGGGTCAGCCGACGGCCGATATATGCTGCCGATATTTTTTGGCCGAAAATTGTACGTTTTCCCCTCTATTTGCATGATAAAATATTACACTAATAATAACAAAGGATAACTAAAATTTCTCAACTTAGCATTTATTGAATACTGACTTGTGTAAATTTAAATATAAACTTAAATAACAAAAACACAATACAACTTGTAAACAATAACTTAAACTTATAAACAATAAAAATTGCAGCATCAGAATCTCTTTTAGGGCACAATATAGCAGCAAACTCCTTCTTCAGCTCCCAAGCTCACCAGCCTACTGCAGATATTGCACCTGGCTTTTCCTGGTGTTGGCTTGGTGAAATGCTGCCATACAGGATTAGATTTTTGTTCAGCGATCAGACAGCANGTGAAATGCTGCCATACAGGATTAGATTTTTGTTCAGCCATCAGACAGCAATTACTAAAACAGAAGAAAAAATACAAGGTTAGCATTTTTATTATAGTGCCTTCATCTTCAATTCATTCTACAATTTCAGTATTCCATGCACATTAAAACAATTACACTCTAATACATTTTGAAAGGAAAAAACACTATTAACTAAGTGCATCATGGTATGATGAGTAGTGTACAAGGCCCAACATGTTGTTTATGTTAGCAGACAGATAGCTTACAAGCCAAATTCACAATCAGAATCTAGCGATTGCAGAAAATAAAATAAAATAACTTTGTCGTATTACACAGCCTTGTATGCAAGGACAACATAAGCCCCTAGTGATTGTGACGTTGTCGACGTAAAAGCCCATATAAAGGATAGACACGTATAATGAGGAAACTAACTGCGCAAAGTCGTGCACTTTTTATCTAGACGTCTGACAAATTGCTTGAATCTCCGCTCTCAAATGCAAACAAGTTGCACATAAGGACCATTGTCAGCTTCAGCTCAAGTGAATGGTAACCATGCTTTCGAACAAACAGTTTTCTCCACCATGCATTGTTCTTAGCAGCTGTGTCTCAGAGGACGGTGCTGTCTGTCGGTGTAAAATCGGGGCAGAGTAACGCATCTCTCACACACGCTGCAGTGTTTGAGAGCTGCCTGCTCCGCCCCACACACAGAGTGAAACTCTCCGACACAAGAAAAAAAAACAGAACTGCTAACATCGGGCTGATATGGTAATAATTTAAATGTTAACAATTAAAAATGATTTTTAACGATTAAAAAACGTCTGTGAGCCCACCAACAAGCGCACAAAACTAACTTGGTCAGAAACAATGATCCTTAACGTTACCTGTAAGCTACATTTGATTAAAGGCTCATTATCATTATGCGAGTTCTCGACAGCATAATTCGCGGTCTCTTTTAAAGCAACATTTCATAGCAAATCAGTTAAATAAATAGGTAATTGAAAGATCAGAATTTAAGCCTTACCGTTTTCTCCCAGGACTCTTCCAAAACTTCTGGTTGGGGTCCTGCACAAGGCAGCATTGGTCACGTGTTCCACAGCAACAATAACATTGGGCAGACGTGCCTGTCTGTGAATCGGCGTAGTGCGCTCGGATATCGGCCAATGCCGATACATTAAAATATGCCAAATATCGGCCCGATATATTGGTCGACCTCTAGCTTATACTCATGAATTTAGGTTTCGCTCGTGTCAAAAAATGTATTCATTCGTTTCATTGTGCATACTGATTTGAAAATGATGTACAGAATGGTATATGACAGATACGTGTACCTTCTGGAAATGGCTAAAAGGAACTGCTGTGTCTGTAGGCGAAGGGCAGTATGGGAAGGTGTACACCTGCATCAACGTCGACACCGGAGAGCTGATGGCAATGAAAGAGGTATGAATGGCCACTTGTTGAGAAGATGACTAAATACTGGATGGAAAATGTATAAATACTGTTTGTTTGCAGTTGGTTGATCTTTAAAATAAGCCCTTATGGTTTTGGTTAATATAGATCAGGTTCCAGCCCAATGACCACAAAACGATAAAGGAAACTGCAGACGAGCTGAAAATCTTTGAGGGCATCAAGCACCCCAATCTCGTTCGTTACTTTGGTGTGGAACTCCACCGGGTAAGATGGCTGCTCTTTGTTAGGTTTGCCGGTGATTCTGACAGCGCGTGTGCGGGCATTGGTTCCTTAATGGTGCGTTCGATTATCTCTCCGAGGTACGTGACGTCATGTCCGACCAATCTCCCGTTCCTGCGACACATCTAGGAATAAACATGGCTGCCTCCATGAACACGCTGTCGTGTGTTGTCGCTTTATATTTTAGCAGATTTGGAGTGAGATTCTTTTTTCTGTCAGACAAACAAACAAGAAAAACACGAACTAGTCAAACCACATTAAAAGCTTTATAATATTTTAGTAGATCCATAGTGATATTCTTTGTTCGAGAGGCAAACAAACTACAAACAAACAAGACACTAACAAGTCTGGTAAAAATCTGAGATTGCATGCTAGGATACTGTTTACGGTCACGATATGGTATTCTCTAAATCGATGTCGTGCAATTATATTTATAACTATGAATACATTTACCAACAATAAAACATTTTTAAATATGTATAAAATAGAATTACTGTTGACTCTGTAAGTCGCCATATTGAAATGACGTCATAAGGGAATCTTGGACAACAAAATTCTGTCCGACGTCAGCGTTGGAAAGGAGGCGTGTTCCTGACAGGAAATGAAGGTTTTCATGACATTCTTATCTGGGTTCTGACTTGGAGAGAGATAATGGAATGCAGGAGAAGGGTTCCTTGCAGATTTGATGGGATGTGGGCATTAACCCTAACCCCACACTGCTCATGTTTAGGAGGAGATGTACATCTTCATGGAGTACTGTGATGAAGGCACTCTGGAGGAGGTATCCAGGCTAGGTCTCCAGGAACATGTGATACGACTCTACAGCAAGCAGATCACCACGGCCATCAACGTGCTACACGAGCATGGAATTGTGCACCGTGACATTAAGGGTGGGTGTTGTCTTCCACACCCCCACATTCTGTATACCGAAACTTCACTAGAATTCAGATTCTCTGTGTTTGGGACTCCCTCAGTCTCTGACGTCCCTGTTCTCAACTTCTATTCATTGTGATTAAATCTGATATGATTCCGGTGTGCTCATTTTAATGGATGTGGTTTATTGGGACGCTTTGCCAGGTACCATTAAAATCAGCCAAGCCCTACTTTGGCATCGGGATTTGCCACCGGAAATGCGTTTTTTCAAGGCAGAAACTGAAAATAGGTGTCAGGAAACGGATGTTTGTGCAAGTCCTGCAGACCAAAATATTTGGTTCCTGGTAGAACTTCATGGCAGGTATTAAGATGTAAACTGAGTAGCAGAATGACTTAAACAGCTGTTCTCAGTTCAGGCAAACGCCAGTATTGTAACATGACTATTTCAATATTAGTCTAAATACTAGAACTCGTGGCCATAAGTGGAAATTAGCGGGAGAACATTTTAAAACAAATTTGAGGAAGCACTTCTTTACACAGCGTGTAGTCAGAGTATGGAATAGTCTTCCTGCTATTGTAGTGGAAGCTAAAACCCTGGGTTCCTTTAAATCAGAGCTAGATAAGATTTTAACAACTCTGAGCTATTAGCTAAGTTCTCCCCAAACAAGCTTGATGGGCCGAATGGCCTCCTCTCGTTTGTAAATTTCTTATGTTCTTATGAATTAAAATGTTAATTGTGTACATATGCATACTTATTGTAATGTATATTCAAAATGCAGAATCTGTGCTGTTGCAGTTTCCTCCGTCCGTCTAAAACCACATTTTTCCATTTTTATTGCATTTTCATTCCCCACTCCCCCACATAGGTGCGAACATATTCCTGACATCATCCGGCCTGATCAAGCTTGGCGATTTCGGCTGCTCGGTCAAGCTGAAGAACAATGCCCAGACCATGCCAGGGGAGGTGAACAGCACTCTGGGAACAGCAGGTAATGGAGCGCCAATGTTAATGAAATGGACTTTCACTGTGAAACTCGTGACCTCTTTTCCGGGGGTCCTTGTACTTGTGCTGAATTTGGCTCATTAAAGCAGGAGGACACTCAGTCACATATTGGTCAATGTCGCGGAATAAGTGATTTTATCACAGTCAGCAGGTGGCGCCATTTTGCCTAATAGAATGTCTTGTAGAACATGGTCTGTTTCTCCATGTGGACTAGGGAGGATGTATCTCATATCAGCTAACTGCTTTACTTCTCCCCCACACTCTCTCCCTTGTCTTCCTTAGCGTACATGGCACCAGAGGTCATCACCAGGGCTAAAGGTGAAGGTCACGGTAGAGCAGCTGACATCTGGAGTCTAGGCTGTGTCCTGATCGAGATGGTGACAGGAAAGGTAGAGGCTGACTTTCCCATCGTCTACCTCCCTCTCTTTCTCACTATTTGCTTCTGGCTCCTGGAAAATCGAAAAAAAAACCTGATTTTTTTTTTTTTTTTTTTTTTAATGCATTTTCCAGTCACGGAGGAGTGAAAAATGAAACGTCCTTGAAAATAAATGGATTGTCCTGAATATTTACATACATGATAAAATAACCAAGTCTTGTTCTGAAATATTGAAAGGAGGGTTTTATAAAAGTTGATCGCTATGTATGTATACCAACTGTGAATGTAGCAGGTCGGAACCACCATGTTTCCCTGAATATAAGTGGAGGCAAAAAATCCCAATACGTTTTTCTGGGGGGGTGGGGGGAATATGGAGAAATTATACATAGGATTATCTCTCTCTGCCTCTCTTGCCCATTGTACAATTCTTCAAATGTTTTTTGTTACTAGTCAGTGAAAATGAGTTGAGCAAAATTTCAGAGGGTGAGTTCGTGTTTCACTGATATCTCTGATGATATTTATAATGATTTTTGGTAGAACTGAAATTGCAAAGGTAACTAATAATAGAACAGTTGTCTTGCCTGGCAGCCATAGCGAGAAACCATCTTATGTCTGCCCCCTTTCTGTCATTTCTATATATTGGGCAAATATTTTCATATCACGATCACGATTTTTCAGTGTGCACTTATGCAACTGAATTGTTTCATAAGCCAATAAATTCAGCGTATAGTTAGAATACGAAAAACTGCAATGTAAAATCTAAAAGTACTGAATGATATAAACGGGCTACTGATGAAGTATTTTATGAACAATGATTAAAAAACAAAGGCCATATTGTTTAAACTGTCACAGCACTAAATGCATAATAATTATCACACTGAAGTCTTTTTTTGTCAGTGTTGAAGGAAAGAATGTGTGGATTATCAATTATGCAGTAAACTGAGACAAAGCAAAGAATGTTAGTTAAATTGTCATGATATTTTAGAGTGGAATTCAGGTGATTCTTTGACAGCGGCCTACGTTTCCCTCCAAGATCTCAAATTTTTAAAAGTAACTTCACAGGCAACCCTGTGTCAAGTGTAATGTGTACTTGAGTGTGGGTCATAAAAAGGTACTGGGAAAATGTTCTGAGAAGAACGGGAACCCTGGCTTCGTTCTGTTTCTTGTTGTCATTTCCACTCTTCATCCCTGTAAAGCCTGCATGCTATTGATCCAGAATCGCGTGCCCTGCAGGGTCCCCGCGACGTGCTTCTGGCCGTACTGGTTAAATTAACTGCCCGTGCCTTTGAAGATCATATTTCCAGCTAAACCACAAAAAGGCCTGAAATTCCTGCCCACACAGGTCGGGCCGCCCCATCCTGATGCTTAGAAACAAATATTTATAGCTGGATCAGCCCGACTGGTCCTCTGTCTTCCCTGATTTGGATCTAAATTATGCTTTCAGTTCAAGGGGTAGCATGTTTTGGTTACCTAGCAACCATAGAAGATCCTGCTGAGTGGCTTTTTGAATTAAATTTTTTCTCTTCTAGGCTATTTTGAAGCTCTGGTGGTGGTTATGCAAGGTGGGCTGTGTGTCGCGCCCGTGCGCATTAACCTGACCCTCCCTTTTCCTGTTTGTCCCCTGTGCGATCAGAGACCCTGGCACGAGTATGAGCACAACTTCCAGATCATGTACAAGGTGGGAATGGGACACAAGCCGCCTATCCCAGAGAAGCTGAGCGCCGAGGGGAAGGACTTCCTGCAGCACTGCCTGGAGAGCGATCCCAAGCAGCGGTGGACCGCGAGCACGCTGCTGGACCACCCCTTCGTCAAGGTGAGACACCCATCTGGCCTGCGGGCTGCACGGCCACCTTCTCATTCATTCCAGAGCCCTTCACCTATACTCCCCCAATCCGCCCTCATCCCCTGGCCAAACATCAACAGTTCCACATCATCTGGACACATTTGCACTGGAACTTGGGAACGGAAAGGCATGGTCAGGTCTAAGGGGGGTCCGAGTGCAGAGACTCTCTTCCTCAGGCATTTATTACAGTTATGTTTAGCTACTTTGGTTGCTGAAAAGTGCAAAAATGCTATAACAATGCTTTTCTACGAATGACAAAATTTCAGATTTTGAAAAAAGCTTGATTCCCAAACAAAATCAGGATGTCAGTAAGGCCAGCCTGGTACCAAATAGCAAATATTTGAGAGAGAGTGCATTTAAGTGTCATTGAGGTCAACTATGAGCTGCACAGAGTGTATCTGACATGGTGAATTCTGGGTAGTCTTACTGGGTTGACATTGGCATGATGGTGTTAAGGGGATCCAGTGGAGGTTGGGCACATGGTGGTTTCCTATCATCCGCTATGGTAATTCCCTCCCCCCCACAGGTTTGCACGGATGAAGAGTGATGTCCCCCCCCCCCACACACCCTCCGACGCTTCTCACCTGTACAAACCCCAAGCACTACTGTATGTAATATTTACAACACTGTTGTCGAGAAAGGAGGGGTAGACTGGTGAATGAACTATTGAAAAGGGCATCGAGCCATCACAGAGGCTCACATGGACTGGCAGGATTTTTCCCAGCATGCAACAGGGCAAGTCTTACATGTACAGTTCCTGGTGGGGAGATGTTGCATTGTACATATTGTAAGAACTGAATTTGGAAAGGTTCTTGTAAAATGAGTATTGTAAAGCTCAAATAATAATAATAATAATATTAGCTATTGTGGGTGTGTTCCTATGGTGATGTCTAATGAAGCAGCATGGAGAGTACACACAAAAGAACAAAACTGAGGGCACTTTGCATGGGGGGGCCGTGCAGACTGGGGGGGAAAGAACCTTGGGCTGTTCCTGTTGGGGGGTGGGGGCTACTAAACCATGGAATTGCAAATGTACTGATGGATTTGGCGGCCGTAAGGCAGGGTACAGTCTGAAAAGCCCCCCCGCAGAAACTGAAGCCTGAGCTAAACCTGGGGGGGTGGGGCACTGTGGCCAGAGAGGATTTTATTAAAATTTTCAATTTTCTTTTTTGCTTTTAAAAGTATTGTATTTTTTTTTTCTCCTTTTGCCATGCTGCAAGCCCAGTCGTTAATGTCTGTATTTAAACAGTGTGTGTGTATGTGTGGAGACTCCCCCAATGGACTATGGGAAAGCACGTGTGTGCCAGGGATAGGTATGTATGCGTGAGCATGTGTCTGAATGTGTGCGTGTGACTGGAACCCAGCCTATTGATGAGGGAGGGGGGAGGGGGGGCCCCTGATCTGACTGCTGCTGAACACACACACACTCTTTGGCTCCTGCTGCTCATTCAATGTTTGCAATGTAAAATAATAAATAAATACATTTTTAAAAAAACATGGTCAATCGTGATGTGACGCCGCCGTGTGGTTGGGCAGGGTGAAGCACGTTTGTCACAGGCAGCAGGTGACACAAGCTACCTACTCTGTTTTAGACGTCCTATCATGCACAAAATGTATTTTCATTTACAGTGTTAAGCTGCTCTTCTAAGCAGTAGAACTTTTTCAGAAGTGTGTCGCACGAGTGGACAGAAACAACCCCAAATGTGGACAGCAGGTACAAGCTATTAATAAACCTATTGAAAAAAATCTTTCACAGCTGAGGATTCAATATGGGGGAAGCAGGTAAAGCTGTTCAGGGTCCAGTTTTGCAAAACAAGTTTGAATACTTAAGTAAAAGGAAACAAGGAGCAATAAAAGAACGTTCGTTTGGTTTATTGGTTCTTAATGAAACAAATGCTCATTCACTGTTCACCAAAACAAAGTGGTTCGTTTCAACACTTCCGCAGTGGAGCACACATCTGCATGGAATATGTGTCATAATGAATTAGCGATCAAACACACACACACAAACACACACACACGCACACGTACACGCACTCGTGGCTTCTCTGGGGTGTTAGCTATCACCCAGCACACACTAGAAGCATGTGCCCTCCCCCCTCTGGCAGCTTGTCAGACAGCCCTGGATCTTTCCACTGTCTCTGGGGTCCTCCGGAGCGTCCCTGTTACTGCATAGTTAGTCATTTGGACCCGGGGCCTGGAGTTGAACTCTGTCCAGCTGTACTCAGGCTGGCAGGAGGCGGAGCGTTTTCGGGATGCTTCCCGGTCCGTCCTGTTTTTCTTTTAGTTGTTTAAAGCGGAGCCTTTGTTTCCGTAGCTGGAGCCCTTTTCAATCTCGGTCTGCCCAATCATCCAGCGCACACAGACAGAGGCTGCAAGCACAAAGTAGGTGAAAGGTTGGTGGTGGCGGGGTATTTGAGATGGCCTGTTAAATCAATATCCCTGGAAGTCTTCCTATAAGTCGATATACCTTTCAAAACAATTCTAAATACATTTCTAAAAGATCTATCCTGGGCTACACAGTGATCAGCCATGCCCAGATGCTGTTCAGTCCTTGGTTGTGATTGGCCAGGAAACTGTTGCATTAATGGCAAAACTTGGGCATGGTGAGATGCTGTAGAACAGGCATGCACATTCTCAGAGAACTCCAAATGATGTGTATATATCACTATGTACTTATTCAGTAAATGTGACATTATGTGAAATATATACACAGTTTCGAGGAGTTTGCGTATTGTATGATGACATGCGCATGTTAAGTTGTCAGACAGGTTTTTTTGTGCTTCTCCTTTTATAATGTCTCCCTTGTGGTTTGTTCCTGAGGTTTACTAGCCCTGAATTGCTGGTTAGTCTTTCAGGTGATGATCAGGTGTATTTTTCTTTTTGACTTGCTGATAAATGGTATTGAGCAGGGTGTGATACGGGGGGCGTGGTAGGAATGAGCATGCAATTCATCAGCAAGGCAGCGTGCTTTCACAATTTTTTTTTTTCCCCCATTTTTCACACTTTAAGGAAAAGGAAGCTTTACTTACTGTTTAAAAGTACCTGAACTGCTCCCTCATGAAACATTTAGACAAAAGTGCAGTGATTAAAACCTGGAAACGAGCGATTAACCCCTACGGCACCTTACGGGTCTCCAACACACTACAGCCCCAGCTCCAAAAGCTTCCCCTAGCTTGACAACAGCGTCTTCATCTGCCCGCGAACAAATGATCAGGCTAAAAATAAACATGGACTGCTGTGCCCGGGGACACAGAGAAGATCAGAGAGCTACAGCTAGCAATCGGTCACATTGTGTTAGGTTACCTGCTCCTACTTAATTGGGACATGAAGTTCAGGGCCTTAACAAAACAATCTAGGTGCCCCACATGCAGATACAGATCATAAAAGATAATCTCAGCTGGTTTAAACAATATGGGGAGCAGGCCTGGCTCCACAGGGGGGCCAGGGTGGGTCTGACCCACCCAATCACGAGCTTAGGCAATCCCAAGGCTGGGAGAACACCAGCCAATCGTGGCATCTTTTTTGATCATTATAAATAGGAGGGAAACAGACCATTTCTTAGTAAAGATGGACTTGAATTCTTACCCCTTGGAGAATCGTGTGGCCCCACCCTACAAATTAGATCTAGAGCCAGGCCCGCAGGGGGGAGGCAGAAAAGTCCTAAACTGAGCTCCTAACATGATGTAGTACCCTTGGGTGTAGCGGAGTGTGCTGTCCCTGTGACCCACCTGCCACGCACAGTGCCACGGTACTGAGGATGGTGACCCAGGAGCCGGTGCCGACCAGCCGCATCACTAGGAGGCCCAGCGGGTACAGCAGCAGAGCTGCCCAGAATAGCCAATTCAGCAAAGCCCAGGGCCGCTGTGGCAAGCTGACTGTGGGGCCCGGGAAGCGGCCCGTTTGGTAGTACTGCTCCTGGAATTCGTCCTGTGGCACATGGGGCAGGAACGGAGTAACTAAGCAGGACTGACTCACCAAAGCAGAACATCTATATTACTGTGTATTAATCTAACAAGTCTAAGGGCCTTATTTACACATTGTCATGTTAAATTTAAACACCAGATTCTGAAAGTGAGACCATACTAGTCAATTTATTAACATGATGTATACATTTGTGAATTGCTATTATAGATGTCTGTAGGAAGACTGAGCTTTCAGTCGTGCCTTGGTGGGGCTACATTTTTGATGCAGGGACACACCTGCCCTAAATCCCATCTCTACCGAACCCACAGGATTTACTCTGTGCCCACGCACCTTTTCCTGGTAGAGTTTGTGAAGCCAGGCGGAACATTCCACCTCGTCATCCGGAATGGTTTCCAGAGGAATTCTCCTAGGATGACATCAGAGTGAGGGGAGCCTTTTGGAAATTTGTTTGTACTGCATTCAGAGTCAAGTGTGGGGAAAGTCCCTTCATGGAGGAATGGGTGTAGATTGTGCAAACATACCCCTTATCTAAACATCTGTCTAATCCCAGCAAACAGAGGAGCTATCGCAGGCATTGTCCCCCCTCTGTTGCCACAGTAATTACAGAACGATTCCCACGCGCGTTCTGGAACACGGCTCACCTTACATACAGATCCGCGTGATACTTTTTCCCATTGAGAACTCCCAGCAGAGTTGGAGTTTCATTGTTTCTGAAATTAAGCGTAGAATCGTACACAGCGCTGACTATGGAGGAGACACAAACAACAGATATGGGCAAGTGTAACAACGTTGAGCACAGAGCAATGACCAACAGGTTGCGACCCAAACAAAACACGTCCCTTCGCTTATTTTTTCACACCCCCACAAGACATAGGAATCTATTCCCTTAACTCGCATGCATCCTGCTAGCACTAAATTCCATTATCCCAATTAGAAAATACCTCAGAGGTATTTGGTTTTGCATGAGGAAGGGTTAAATCCAAAAAAAGAAAGCCCTCCCCCAGGTCAGGTGTGCCACTCGAAGCCCCCCTCACCTGCCCCTCGGAGGTTATTCACAGTGATACAGAAGCCCTTGGTTCGGGGCAGCAGGTGGTGCTTCAGCTTGGGCAGGCCTTTGCTCTCTGCCACCTGCATGCTGATCTGGTGTTTCTTCTCGGTAAACCGAGTGCCTTCGCAATGCAGCAGGAACTGGGAGGGACCGAAAGAGGCTCCATCAACTGCGGCCTTGAGCAGAGGGTCCAATCTAGGCAAAACTTTACAAGCGGGGCCCCCACACCATGAAGTCTGACGATCATTTCACTTCCTCCACAATGCAAGTAATTTGGGGCCCCATTCTACTTACAGCAAGAGTCAAACATGTTCAGCACCAGTCAAAAGTATAGACATATCTGCTCAAAGAAAGGTTTACTTGTACTATTCTATACATTTTAGACAAAATATAAAGACATCAAAACTATAAAATAACATATACTGAATAATACACTGACCAAAGAAGAATTTAACAAAAAAATGACTTTGTTGGGGGGGGGGGGGGGGGGGGGTTAGCCCTGTGAGTTGGGACATGGAATATCATCGCTTCAAATCCCTGGGCTGTCACAGTGATCCCACGAAGGCCCTTAACCCCAATTGCTCTACTGTGTTAATTCAGGTGGTCCGGTCATGTAATGCAACACAATCACTCTCCTTTGTAGACATCTTGGGATGCCCAAACTTTTGACTGGTACTGTATATAATATATGTTTTGTTCAGGACTTTGTCTGGGCCGTCTTGAGCCAATCAGGCCCCAGGCAGCTGCCTACTTCGCCTACGCTTGGATCCGGCTCTGGCCTTGAGAAAATTCTGACCCAGCACAAGACGGCCCTGCTCTTAGGCTGCTATATTAGCACAGACGATTGGGTTCCGCTAGTGAAATCATCATTTTTATTCAATG